AAAAAAACTGGATCTCGTCCTCACCCTGCCAGCAAAGACTAGTGCAGAGCCCAGACTTCCACCCTTGCCCAGCTGTAATGGGGCACCCCATCCCTCTGCCAGTGTGGTGTTAGAGAAGACCAAATAGGGGGAAGCAGGACTTTCATCTCTGCTGGGCAGTAACAAGACTCGCCATCCCCTTTGTACTGGAGGGATTGTAGTTTCAGAAAGGATGAGCTGATCTTTCTCTTTCTGTATGCAGTAAGCCATAAAGGTTCCTCTGGAAGGGGTATTGACCGTCACCATACCAGAGTGAGAAAATAGCCTTTATCAACAGAGGCTTGGAATTGGAGGTGGCAATGAACCTGAATAAACACACTTAAGGAAGTAACCCTTACCTTCCACCTGTCTTACACCCACCCCCTCCACATATATCTACTAGTGACTCCCCTAGAAAATGTATTGCCTCAGCCAGATTTTCTTATCTTTTTGAGACAGGGTCTTGCTCTGTCACCCAGGCTGGAGTGCAGTGGTGCAATCCTAGCTGACCACAGCCTTTGAGATCTGCCATTGCACTCCAGCTCAGGTGACAGAGCAAGACTCCGTTTCAGAAAAAGAAAAAAAAAAAAAAAAGACTGGGCATGGTGGCCACTCCTGCAATCCCAGCACTTTTGGAGGCCAAGGTCGGTGGATCACCTGAGGTCAGGAGTTCAAGACTGGCTCACTATAGCCTTGAATGCCTGGGCTCAAGTGATCCTCTCATCTCAGCCTCCCAAGCATCTAGGAACACAGATGTGTGCTAACACACTCAGCATATGTGTGTGTGTGTATATATGTGTGTGTGCGTGCATGTGTATATGTATATATATATACGTGTGTGTGTGTGTGTATATATATATATATATATATATTTTTTTTTTTGGTAGAGCTGGGGGTCATGCTATGTTGCCCAGGCTGGTCTTAAACTGCTGGCCTCAAGTCATCCTCTTGCCCAACCTTCCAAAACGCTGGAATTACAGGCATGAGCCACCATGCCCAGCCCAGATTTTCTTTGTCCTGTTATTTCTTAGAGTTATCCTTCTTTGTCAAAAAGTATAAAAGCATCTTGCTTTGGCCACATCTTTGGACTTAAATCTCTTGCAGAGGTCCTCACATATATGTAAAACTATTAAAATTGGTTTATTTTGTCTTGTTAATCTTCCTGGTGTCCATTTGGTTTCTAGAGCCAGCTGAAGAGTTCACTAGAACTAAAAGGAAAGGGAAGATTGGAGGTAATTTCTGGCTCCACTACAACTGTCAGAATTTCATACCCAGCAAAACATATCCTTCAAGAGTGAAGGGGAAGTCAAGATGCTCTCAGAGGAAGGAAAACTAAGAAAATTTGTTGCCAGCAGCACTGTCCTAAAAGAATGACTAAGTTCTCTAAGTAGAAAGGAAAGGATAAAGGAATAATCTCAGAAAATCAGGAGAAGAGGAACAATGGGAAGAGGAAATACATTGTATTTTTCCTCTTTAGTTTTCTAAATGAAGTTTGATGGTTGAGGTGAAAACATATAACATTGCATGATGTGTTTCTTTTTCTTTTCTTTTTTTTTTTTTGAGACTGAGTTTCGCTCTTGTTACCCAGGCTGGAGTGTAATGGCACGATCTTGGCTCACCACAACCTCCGCCTCCTGGGTTCAGGCAATTCTCCTGCCTCAGCCTCCTGAGTAGCTGAGATTACAGGCACGCGCCACCATGCCCAGCTAATTTTTTGTATTTTAAGTAGAGACAGGATTTCACCATGTTGACCAGGATGGTCTCGATCTCTTGACCTCGTGATCCACCCGCCTCAGCCTCCCAAAGGGCTGGGATTTACAGGCTTGAGCCACCGTGCCCGGCCGCGTGATGTGTTTCTAAATGTACATAGAGAAAATACAGATGCTCCTCAACTTTTGATGGGGTTGCATTTTGGCAAATACTGTAAGTCAAAAACATTAAAAGTTGAAAATACATTTAATGCTCATTTAATGCAAGCTCAAAAACTACTAAGCTGGCCGATTGTTCTGGCTCATGCCTATAATCCCAGCATTTTGGGAGGCCGAGGTGGGAGGATCACCTGATGTCAGGAGTTTGAGAACAGCATGGCTAAAATGGTGAAACCCTGTTTCTACTAAAAATACAAAAAAATTAGCTGGGCATGGTGGCACACACCTTTTAATTCTAGCTACTTGGGAGGCTGGGGCATGAGAATTGCTTGAACCCAGGAGGCAGAGCCTGCAGTGAGCCAAGATCGTGCCACTGTACTCCATCCTTGGTGACCGAGACAATATCTCAAAAAACAAAAAACAGAAAAACTAAGTTGAACCACTGTAAGTCCAGATGCTTAACTTAGAATGGGGTTACTTTCTGATAAGCCAATCATAAAGGCAAAAATATAGTAAGTTGAATCATAAGTCAGGGACCATCTGTATTTAAAACAACTACAAACAGGGAGGATAACAAGACATAGATATAAGTTTTCTATATTTCACTCAAACTATAAAAAAATGATGTCACCAGTGGGCTGTGATAAGTTATATATACATAATGTAATATCTAGAGCAACCAGTAAAGCTATACAAAGAAATATACTAAAAAACAGTATAGATAAGTCAAAACGTAATTCTAAAACATGTTCAGGCAACCCATAGGAATGAGAATCTAGTGCCTGATGATGTGAGGTGGGACAGTTTCATCCTGAAACCATCCCCCTCCTTCTTCCCCATCCATGGAAAAACTGTCTTCTACAAAACTGGTCCCTGGTGCCAAAAAGGTTGGAGACTCCTGGTCTAGAAAACAGTTTGGCAGCACCTAAAAAAATGTAATATGCAACAATATGATCTTCCAATTGTCTTATCCCAGAGAAATGGAAACTTACGTTCATGCGAAAATCTGTACAATGAATGTTCATGAAAAGCATTTCTTAACAACCTAAAGCTGAAGAAGACTTCAGATGTCCTTCAATGGGTGAATGGTTCAGTTGTGGTACATCCACACTGTGAACTACTGCTCAGTAATAAAAAGAAAAAAAAAACTCTTGATACAACAATCTGGATTAATTTCCAGATAATTATGCTCAGGGAAGACACCTATTTCAAAAGGCTACATACAGTATGATTTTATTTAAATAACATTCTCAACAGGCCAAAATTATAGAAATAGAGCACATATAAGTGGTTGGCAGGGGTTAAAGAAGGGAAGTGGGTGGGTGCATAAAGGGCAACAGGAGGGTACTTGTGGTGGAAATGCTCTGCATCTCAACAGCGTTGGTGCCAATATCCTGGTTGTGATAATGTGTGATCATGTATTTTTATCACAGGTGAAGGGTAAATTTCATAACAATTACATGTGAATCTACAATGGCCTCAAAATAAAAAAATACAACCTACTTTTTAAAAAGTATGTAATATATAATTCTACTTAAAAGGCAAACGTATCTATGAATGATAGAAATCAGAGCAGTGATTACCTTGGGAGGGAGAGATTAGGAAGGGGTGAGACAGACCTTCCTGGGGAGGATAATGAATGACAGAAACACTCTACAGTTTGCTTTGGGTGGCGATCACAGGTATATACGTGTATAAAAATTTACTGACTTGCATAATTTTCTGTAAGTTCAATCTTACATAAAGAAATATAAATTGAAGAATTGATCAGTTCCAAGAATTATTCCTTTCGCTACAATGGTCTCAAAAATGTACAGGAGAAAGGATCTTTTCTGTTAGTGGTCTAAGATGGTCTAATATTTATAGATATAAACAAGGCTATTCCAAAATGTATAAAGGCAAAGGAACTAGATTAGCAGAAACAATTTGGAAAAAAAATGGATAAGTCTACTTGTTTTCAAGACTTACTGTATAGCTATAGTAATCGAGACCTAATCGAATCTAATAGATCCTTGCTCATTATAAAATGAGGTTCATGATTCTGCTAAAACACTAATTTCTCCCACTTGTTATGGCTAAAGAGAATTTGAGTATTTAAAAGATTTATAACTAACTTGCAGAATGTAAAACATCTTGGTAATTGAGAAAAAAATCTAGTGATCATGACAGACCAAATGTCTGGGCCTCTTTCACTGTGCACAGTGTGTTCTGCTAATCTCAGAGGCAGAACGACTTCATTCAGCAAGTGTCCAGTTTAAAGGACACCATCACACAGCCGTGCCTCCTTTGTAGAAGGGTGGCACTGTGGTGAGCCAGGTGACTTCCCCTGGGGCAGGATGCTGTGCTAGGCAGGTAGAGCCCTTAAATTTCTGTCTCCTCCCAAGCCCAGAGACACAGGTACCACTGGGACTTGGGCAGGCACACATCTCAGGGAGTTAGCTACCCAGGTCCTGACTTACAGACTGCACAAATGTCCTTTCACATCAGTCTTCTATTCAGTGTTTCAGCAAACAGCCGAGAAAGAACTCCTCTTCTTTATGGTGTGTTGAACAACAGAAGTCATCAGCCCAGAAGGAAAGCTGGAATCGAGACGATATGGTCATTGGGAAAAATAACCTGCTGTCAGCAGCTGGGCTGGCAGAGCTGTGGAGGTGTTTGGCTACAAGTCCCGCAGGGCTGGGTGGGCCCAGGACCAAGACCAAGGCATGGCCACCCCTGGGGGTGGTTCTTAACCAAATGAAACTGTTTCGTTTCCTTGAATGTATCTGGACATTACCTTTGCTTTTCTGAGGCCAGGAAGAGAAAGCTCTTCCCTTGCTCCAATTCTATGGTCATCAGCAAATGGGGTGGTTTAGCTATTCTAACCAAGACAAGCAATAGCCCCACTGTGCACGGTCAGTCGATATCCTGGCACGTACCAGGGTCTTGAGTGTGGTGTCTGTGAACTACTCTGCAGGAGGCTGAGCAACTCCCATTTGAGTGTGTACAGAGGGTTCTCAATCTAGTACATTCTGCCACCTCCCACGCACGAGAAGCCTCTGTCAGTCTCTCCCTCAGCCATCTGTCTCTCCGATTCAACAGTGACCAATGTAAATAAAAAGCCTAACACAAAAATCAGGCAAATATGTTTAATTTTTTAAAATAACTGATGGCAAAATAAAATATTTACATCACATCATACTGTGTAAACATGTAAGGTCTCTGTACAAAGAAATATACATGCAAAATAATGTAAAAATTTAACTGAAATAAAAGAAACAATACACAAATAAAAATTATGAGGTTACGAATACACATCCAGTTTTGAATCCAATTTCTTTTAAAAAGTTTCTGTACAATTTTACAAGAAGAAACAAAAACCCAACAAAAGAATAAATAAAACACATTGGAAGCTGCAAAGCTTAACTATGCCAGTTTATGGCTCAAGACTCAGGTGTCCGGCTGGCTTGGGAAGCAGGCTGGTCTCTTTTGTAGTGCAGTTCACATGAGAAAGATAAAAAGACATCCAGAAAACTTCAAGGGTGCCCAGAGATCCAGCCTCCTTGAGTTGAAAGGACTCCCCGCACCAGCATGAATGCTGCCACAGTGACTCGGGCATTGGGTAATAGCCGCGGGGCGGCCAGTGCTTAATTGGCTTTTATTTCTTACCAAAAGCTCAAAACCCAGCCAATTTTTGTACAGAAAGTTGAACGTCAAAAAGTCTAAAAAGTAGTAAATGTCCAGACTGATTTTGGGAAAAAAAATACTTTGGCATTCTGAATAATAGCATAATAAACTTTAAAACATTACCCTATTATCCAGTTTTATATTCAGAGTATGAAATCACTTTTTACAGTCCTCAAAACCAACAAATTTCATGAAGAGTTAAGTCTCCTGGAACTGATGGCACAGGGCTACGACCCTACCCACCCACCCGCCAACCCCAACACACACACAAAACCATAAAGCTCACCATACGAAGTATGTGCTTTTTCTATATATTTATTACAGGTACAACAGAGGTCTTCATAAATAGTTGCATAAAATGTTAAAGCCACAACATTGCACATGATATGAAGTAAAACCAAAAAACCCCCAATGAGTGCATTTACAGTATTTTCATCTGACTGTGTACTGCTCAACAATCTGATTGACGGCTTGGGGCAGGAACAGGGGAAGGGGCAGTGGGGCAGGACCCAACCTGATGTCTTCATTTGATGGGCAGACCCTCAGACCCCCAGAGGAAGCCCCAGGCAGTGGGTGGGGGTAGGTAGAGGAGACAGGTGGGGATACGACAGACCGAAGGCAGGAACAGTCTTATATACAAGTAAGGCCTACATTTCATCAGAGCAAAACGATTCATTCTATTTTATGCAAAAGTTTGAGGTTGAATGCACGTTTCAGAAGCCACATCTGGTGTGAGATGCACACAGAAGAGGCGCCTGGAAAAGCTCAGAGCAGAGTGGACTCTGAGCCCTAGACAAGGCCGTGGGAGTGGCCGCCACCTGGGTGCGTCTTCCTGAGACGCACAGTATCTTTGCTTTGTTCGTTACACCAGTGGTAGAACATAGGCATTTTGTTTCCTTGGATAAATCTTGAAAACATTAAATTTGCAAAATTCTATTCATGTTTGTTTAAAAAAGTATCTTTTTATTTTTTGCAGAAACCTGAATAAAATACTGTGATACAGCAATGCGACCTCTGCCTTGGGCAGAGTGTAAGTGACGGTCCTCCACCCCAGCGCAGCTCGCAGCTCTGTGTCCAAGCACTGCTGAGCACAGCTCACTTGGAATGCAATTTCACACGATGAACATACCGGCAGCTGATCAGTTCTGTTTGCTTGTTTTCTCTTGAAAATTCAAATTAACAGCTGATTGGCAGGTGAAAGAGAATGAGAAAGAACTTCTGGATAGGTCAAACTCTAGGCAGAAGCCTGCTCTGTAGGAAGTTTTTAATGCTACGGATAGGTCGAACATCATTCTGGTGTTTGCGCCGCTCAATGAAGGATGTCAGTCTGGACGTGTCGAGGACGCCCGTGCTCCTGCCATTGCCCGCCTGCAGCCACTGCTCCTGGAGGGCCAGCGCAGCCGAGGGACGCTTGGCGGGGTCCTCCTGCAGGAGGAAGCACACGAACTCCTTGGCCTTCTGGCTAACTCCTTTAAAGTAGTCATCTGGGAAGCTAAAGTCTAAGCGGCAAATGTTCAGGCAGGTCTCTTCTACGCTGTCATCCAGGAAGGGGGACACGCCACTAAGAAGTACGTATGTGAGCACTCCAACACTCCATGTATCCGAGGTCAGGGAGACAGGGTTCCCGAGGATGATTTCAGGGGCCGCAAATTCAGGGTTCCCCAGTAACTGGTGGACGTAGTAGGTCGTGTTAAGTTGAACGGCATCTCCAAAGTCAGCCAGTTTGATGGTTGGCTTGGCTAAACTCTGATCCACCAGGATATTCTCAGGCTGGAAGACAGAGGACAACTGTCATTTTCACACCAGTCCAATCTTAAGCTTACTCATGATGATCAATTACTCTATGGTGAGGTGGAAGGAATCCATGATGTCAACTAGGACAAGCCATTCATGTGCAAAGCAAGCCGGACCCCTCAGCTCACAGCCCAGGATGAGGAGGAAGAAATGACCCAGCAGAGCTGGGACCCAGTTCCACACAGAGGAGCTCTCTCTGGAGAACTAAGTCCCAAGTAGCGTATGAAACCAGGTGGCTTTATGAAGCTGGTTGTTTATTTTCCCTCCCAGCACTGAGGGGAATATTCTCTTTCCTGCCTAAGTTACCACTGTACCCCCAAACACCCACTGGGCAAAACTCATGGGGACTTTCTAAAAGTCATGAAAGGCTAGAAGGTCTCTAGCGTTTTACCCAGCATGTTCCTGACCACGTGTATCCCTGGACACAAATGCTTAGAAACAGATTAGCCATCAGTGTCCACGCTGCCCCACCCACCCTTTCTGTCCTTAGTCACTTGGGGGCTCCTGGCCTGGCTTCAGAGGACAGGCTAAGAGAGGGCTCCGTGTCCCACATGGCTAAGCTGGCATGCTCAGACCCCGCTTCACCTGCCCCGGCCTCACCAACCTTTAGGTCCAGGTGTGCTATCCTGCAGTTGTGCAGGTACCGGACAGCTTCCAGAACCTCCCCCAGGTGCGCTCTGATCTTCCCTTCAGTGAGACTTCCCCATCGCACCACGCAGTCCAGGAGGCGACCCTGGTCAGCCCTAGAGGCAGGAACAAGTGACTGTTAGGATGTGCTTTGCTGTAAAGACCTCTTCAGGCTGGTAAGAAGTAAACAGGTCGGACCTGTCCCGTTATGAATGTTTCAACAGGATCTCAGGGCTGTGTCTCTAATGCATGACTAGACAAGGAAGGTAGCTTCTGTGAAGCTCTGTTGGGAAGATGTGGGTGGGGAACAGGGTGTCTCCATCTTAAGAGGGAAGCTGGGGGTAGAGCAGCACAGTCAAGGACCCAAACCTGCCTGTTGTGGGGGATGGCGTGGCCCGGCTGCCGGCAGTGCCAGGCACAGCAGGGATCCTATGGTATCTGCTGAAGGAAGGCATGAAGCCAGGCTTCTCGGAGCTGTAGTTTCCTCACCTGTAAAATGGCCACGGGAAGACTGACTGAGACCATGTAACCGAAGGCTGGCCAGGAGGTGACACAGCATGTGCTCAGTGTTGGACTCAGAAGGCTTCCTCCTCTGAAATTGCTGTTCATACTAAAAAAAACACTTACACAGCACCACCAAGAGCCAGGCACTCAATGCCTTCTAACAACTCATTCAATCCCATGACTCTGTGGGACGCGGTCTTACTGTACCCATCTGACACATGAGGACAGTGAGGCACAGAGAAAGCAGAAAACTTCCCCACGGTCCCGCAGCTCCAGAGTGGAGAAGCCAGGATTGGACTGGGGTGGTCGGGCCCCGGGCTCTCTCGACACCGGCCTATGCTGCGCTCTTTGCAAAACAGAAACTTGCAGGAAGATCGCTGCCTGTCTAGTAATGGGGAGTAGCCAGTGAGAATCTAGGAGTAATCTCTCCTGAAACGGATCCTCTTAACAGGATGGTGAGGCCAAACCATGCTGTTTTCCAGTGAGAAGAAATGATGGCTCAAAGCACTGAAACGTCAGTGCAGAAACGAAGGCCCTGTCAGAATCTGTGACAAGCACTCAAGCCACAGTCTTGTTAAAACTCCTGGGGGAATGTGAACAGTGGCTGTGTCACCAGCATCTGGAGCCAGAAAGGAGCCCTCCTGGGTCCTGAGGCTCCCAGGCCAGACCTCGGCTTGGATGTCAGCTCCTTCACACACATCACCCCATTTCGGCCCCACGACCCTCCTCTGAAGGCGATGAGACTTTTAAGGATATCCAAGGTGAGAAATGTGCCAATGAAGGGGAGGGCGGGGACTGAGACCAGGCCAGGTGTGGCCAGGTCCGGCCAGTGGACTTCCTCTCCGTATACACTGCTCAGCCTCGGGAGCCCCCTGCCGTCTGCCCTTCTGCCGCACGATGTATTTTCTATTCTTGGGAGAGGGGCTGGGAGCAGGTCCTCATGTTCTGGGGGAGGTTTTAGCCATGCGGCCATGGGTGGGAGGCCTTCCTGAGCATCCACTGTCACCCAGGGCACCTGGGCTGCCCAAGGAAGGTGGTAAGGCTGCATGTGGGGCCACCAGGGACCCTGTAGCAGCCTGGCCCTAGGAAGTGTGTGGCAGGAGGCATCTGTAATTTCTTCAAGTTAAAAATGACAATAACGATGACATCAGGTACAGGGCCTGGAGGGAGTTCCTGTGGGCGAGGGGCCCTGAGCTCGAGTCCACCCCTACACAACCCCATGGGGGCACCCTGTTAATCCTATCCTTCCCACTAAAGAAATTTCCAAACCAGGGCAAAAGGTTTTACCCTTCCCCATGGAAAAGTTGTAAATACAAGTAAGTGTATAAAATGACTCCCCCCAAAAAGGAGGAATCGACATTTTCAAAGGTAAATGCACAGATGTTCCACAGACGTTAGACTGCTCCAAGCTGGGGGCCTCATGCCCTGACGTTTGGGGCGGATGAATCAGCGGGGGTCTCCCTGCCTTGTAGGAGGCTAGGCGGCATTCCTGGCCTCTGGCCACTACCTGCCAGTTGCACTCTCAGCCTGACCTCTCCTGACATTTCCTCACAAACCCATCCCCAGATGAGAACCACTCCTCTGGGACACAGGTTTCAAACTCTTTATATGACTGAATCATTTTCTGATCTCACATAGGAGCCCAGTAAGTACAACAGGTGCCAGTGGGGCAACTCTGGTTGGTGTTCTGGCGCCCCCTCTGTGGAGGACATTCTGTGGGGAGGTGCATCTTCCCCTCCTATCCAACTGGCCTTCACCTGGCAGGAGGCCTGAGGGACAGCACTGATCCAGGGTGAGTAGCCAGTGAGGGACCAGCAGGACCCTGTACAGGCTCGGGGTATCAGGGCAGCCTCCAGCCGCTAATGGGGGCTGGGGTTCAGCATCAGACAGCCTGGCTTCTTGGGACTTTCTGAAATGGGGAAGGTCCTCTGGGTTGGCTGAGCATGTCGGGCATTCCACCCCAGAAGTGACTGCCCCTCATCAAGCAGCCCTGCTGAAGACCACACTGCTTTCTGCCGTTACTGGAAGGCTAAGAACTGCGGGCTCTGAAAGTGAAGATGTGTTTTAGTTTTGGGTTTAATTCTAAAAACTCAGTTTCCCTCCTTCTTAGAGAACAAACAGGAACAACCAAACCCCCTGAAGTCGAGGCAGAGGCCTGGGAGAAGGGAAGGTCAGGTGTTACGCACATTTCCAAGACCAGGACGTAGCTGGTGGGGGTCTCAAAGGTGTCAAGGAGGCCAATAAGCAGCGGGTGCTGGAGGCTCTGCAGGATGCCAAGCTCATGGGTGACCTGGTCACGCTTCATCAACTTTTTGTTCACAAACTTAGTGGCCACTGCTCGCTTGGTTCCTTTCTGATCACATTTCTTCACGACAGAGAACCTGCCCCTGTGAAATATGTACAGAAGACCATTTGCAGAGGCTGCTGAGGCAGGGCACAGAGAAAGGCTCCGTTATCCAAAATGGACAGGATATGTGGTGGCCCAGCCCTGTCTGCAGGCCCTGCTCTCCCAGCCACTCCATGTGGCTGTGGCACCATGAATGTCCCTCAAATCTGCCCTTGTCCACAGCCATGCGATTCTGCTGGTCCTCGCTCCCAGGCAGCCTTGGTCTCCCCACATCGGCGGCTGCTTCCCTGGCAATGTGTGTGGTGGGAGTGACAGGGAGAGATGTCTAAGCAGAAGCTGATGTCTGCTTGCGCCTCCTGTCAGCCACCCTTCCTGGCATGTTTGCAGGGGGCATCTGCTGTGGTCACTGCCTCAGCCTCGTCCCCGTGGGTGTCAGTGTGGGGCAGCATGAGGACCCTGGAGCTGCACCCATGGCCCACTCCTGAGGACTTGACCACTTCGCAACATGATCTTGACGAGAACTTGGACCTTGGGCAGGGGCCTGGGCGGGGGCCGGCTGTGTGGGTAAAGGCCACGACTTTGCCTTGTCTCCCACCCAGAGGCAGGGGCTGCTCCTTCCCTTGAATCAGGGCTGCCCGCGGCCGGCTCGGGCACACAGGATGTGGAGGACATTGGTCGTTGATTTCTCAGGCTGGGCCTTCAGAGGCCTTGACGCTCCTGCTGTTCTGGGATGCCACTATCCTCATGGGGACCTCCAGGGTGAAAGTCTATGCAGAAAGAGACCAGCATCCCAGACAAGGCCTCTGACATGTATGGGGCATGGTGGTGCCAGCTGACCAGGCCAGGAGAGGCCAAGAGAACAGCCCCATCTGCCCACCACACTGGAAGAAGCACATGTCACCACTGTCCTAAGACAGGCGCTGGTGTGACTTTCTATGCAGCCACAGGCAACTGACAGAGACATCAGCAGGAGCCTCGTGACCAGTTATGGCCTCAGGAATGAACGCCAGAGGGTGCTGCTGGCTGGAGTTTCCGGGGGAGTTCTTAGAAAGGGACAAAGGAAAGCTGTCACGCTCCTTTGTTCTCGCTCTTCCTGCCACATGGGACACAACACCTGGATTTGAGTGTGTGTTATGTGCCCGGAGGCAGGGCCAGGAGGAGCTGGGCTGCCTGGTAGTGCTGCTGGGCCACCCCCAGCTCGCCTGCCCCTTGTGAAGAGAAAGAGCTCCCTGGATGGGGGAAGCTCTCTCTTAAGCTTTTGCAAGAGAACCCTGATACTCCATCCAATTGTACTGTCACTGCTTGAAGCCTCCACGCACAAGTGAAACATGAAGGACACAAGAGGATGAAGAACTACAAGAAGCCTTTGAATGACTCCTGAACTCTCACAAGGCTGGCACAGAGCTACCATTATTCTACATGCACAGAGGGAAGCAACTTCTCCCCATTGACGGGGCTTGTGGCATTTGGCCCTGTCTGCTGGAACCTGAGTGGAAAACAGCTTCCTTACTTCTTCAGTGTTTAGCATCAAAAGGCAATGAGAGTTACAATTCGAATGCAAGACACAAATTCCAATTGTTGGCAAGATAACACTGCTGTGGCTGGGCGTAGTGGCTCACACCTGTAATCCAGCACTTTGTGAGGCAGAGGCGGGCGGATCACAAGGTCAGGAGTTTGAGACCAGCCTGATCAACATGGAGAAACCCTGTCTCCACTAAAAATACAAAAATTAGCCGGGCATGGTGGTGTGTGCCTGAAATCCCAGCTACTCAGGAGGTTGAGGCAGGAGAACCGCTTGAACCCAGGAGGCGGAGGTTGCAGTGAGCCCAGATCCCGCCACTGCACTTCAGCCTGGGTGACAGACTAAGACTCCATCTCAAAAAAAAAAAAAAAAAAAAAAAAAAAAGATAACACTGCTTAGCTTCATCCATGAACTCTCTGGTGTGTGCATCCTATCCTCTGCTCCTTCGGAAGGCATTCCGGGTGGCACGTCATACCTGCCAAGCTCAGCCACTTCACTGTAGAAGGAGTCAAAGTTGTCTTTCCAGGTCACCATGATCCCATCCGTCCCTGGACCTGCAAGAAGAACAGCACCTGCCTGAGCTTGTTTCCCACGGAACTTCTTGGGTGGGAAGGCTGTCACCACGCACGTCCCTCACCACAGCGGCGCGTGGCTGCTGGGCCTGCCACATGGCTCGAGTGAGTGGAAATGTGCTGAGAGCATAAAGGACACACAGATGCTGGGGCTTAGTGTGAAGGCAGAACGCCAAACACTTCATTAACAATTTCTCAGATACTGATTTCCCGCTGAAATCAAATACTCTGGAGGTATCTGATAAATACATGTTGGTAAAAACTGCTTTTACTTTTATTTGTAAAATGTGTTTACTAGAAAAATCTCTACTTGCATATGTGGCTTCTTTTTACTTCTATTGGACGGCATGCTACCGGTGACGGTCCTCCCTGTTCACCTGGCCACACCGCCTCGAAGCTAGGCTGGTCCCTCCTCCCCATGTCTTTCACAGTCACGAGAGATCAAGAGTCCATGGCATTTACTTAACTTTCATAGGGCTTTACATGGTTAATAAAATCACAAATACACTAAAAGCACAAATAGAATTTTATTATCAAAGTGCCAACTGTAAATTACCTGTCAGTAATGAACCCAGTATACATGTCCACAGGAACAGAAAGCATCCTTTCTAGAGCCTGCCTGTGAAAAGCAGCACTAAGTGGGGGAGCCCTGCATGGCCCTGCTGCCAGGCAGCCCCTGGAAGCACAGCTGCCACTGTGATCCCAAGCTCTCCTCAGGAACCTGGCACTCCTGCCCCGACTAATCCAGCCTCCTCTCCCCACTTACTTCCTCTTTCGGCCTGCTCACCAGACCTGCAGTCCAGCCCAGGGCAAGCATCTGCCCATCCCGATCCTCACCTGGGCTTCCTCCCCTCTGCCCAGGTTGCCACTGGGAATGCATTTCCTTAAACCATATCCAAGCTGACTTGTCTGATCCTGCTCCCTGGGGTAGAGGCCACCTCCTCCACCTGCCTTCCCCGACTCACTCATGGCTGGAAATCATCTCGCACAGCAGTGGGTGGTCCCTGTGGGTGCTGTGTGCTGCCAGCTACCACTGTTGTCACAGGGGGGCTGCTGACCACTATATGACCATAAGTGAACCCATGTATGATCCACCTCTGTAGCCTCCCAGAAACCAGAAGAGTGCCTGGCACACACAAAGCCTTAAATCTTCACTGAAGGACACCTGAGAAGCAACAACTTCACTTCAATCACTTAAACTAAATGCTGCATTTTATTCTGCAGTCTTTTTTGTTAATGCTGGCACATTTGCACCCATGTAAAGTGCTTTATAAATGGTAAGGCTAATTCTGACTGTGTAGGTGAAGAAGTACTGATAGAGAATCATTAATAAAAATAAAATTATTATTTCAGTAGGCAGATTTCAAACACCTGCCAACTTACATGAAGAAATACTGGACTTTCATTTACATAAAAGTATTTTTTTTCTTTTTTTAAACTGAAAGTCTTTTAAAAATAAACATTTTGTATTCAAGCATTACAAATATACAGAAAAGTGGACCAAATATAAATGGTGACTCCAACCAGACCCAGAGACAGAGACAGAGCATCACAGTGGGCAGCTGTTCCCTTGCTCCTCTAAAACACACCTTCCTTCCTTTTCCTTTTTTTGAGGCAGAGTCTTGCTCTGTCACCCAGGCTGTAGTACAGTGATGCAATCTCAACTCACTGCCACCTCAACCTCCCAGGTGGCAAGTGATCCTCCCACCTCAGCCTCCAGAGTAGTTGGGACCACACGCATGCGCCACCACACCCAGCCAGTTTTTTTCTATTTTTGTAGAGATGGGGTTTTGCAAAGTTGCCCAGACTAGTTTCCAACTCCTGGGCTCAAGCCATCTACCCACCTTGGCCTCCCAAAGTGCTGGGCTCGTGAGTACAAAGTACTGCGCCCAGCCCCCTTTTCTCATCAACAGAAACCTCAGCTCTGGCTGGTGGCTCAGCAGGGCTCTCTCTGCATGATTCATTTGGACACAGTTTGGGGGCCTGCACATGTCCTCAGGGTGCAGGGCCGATCCTTCAGTCTCAGGACTCCCTCTCATAGCCCAGACTCTGACCAGCTCCTTGCCTTGAGCCAGATCTTGACGAAAACCTTTTGCTTTCTGAGCATCTGAGAACTGGGGCTCTGCAAGGGCCAGACAGAACAAGGGCACACACCCCAGACAGCTCGTGGGAGAGGAACAGCCTCAGACAGACAGGAGGGAAGCCATGGGTAGATTTAAGGCAAAACACAAAACTATCGATGCCTGCAAACAAAATGGCTTCTCTCAGAGAACAATTTGGAATAGCCCACATAAGATGATTCTTCTGAAGACCTTTAGGGGTGCAGCTGAATTTGTGTGATACAAATAGCCACACACTTGCATTATTTTCCCATTCACATTTCCAGGGTATGAATAGTTTTTTTTTTTTTTGAGATGGATTCTCATTCTATCACCCAGGCTGGAGCGTGTCGGTGCAATCTCAGCTCACTGCAACCTCCGCCTTCCGGGTTCAAGCGATTCTCAGCCTTCTGAGTAGCTGAGACTACAGGTGTGTGCTAGCACGCCCGGCTAATTTTTTGATCTCTTAACCTCGTGATCCGCCCGCCTCAGCCTCCCAAAGTGCTGGGATTAAAGGTGTGAGCCACCATGCCTGGCTGAATAGTCTTCTATCTTTCTACACTCCCTTAGCTTTCAATAGTGATTAAAAAACAAAATCACCTGTGTAATTTGTGTTACTTAAAAATTATAAAATCTTTACTTTTTATTGTTTACTGCCAAATTCTAGATTTTTTAATTTCTTGTTCCAGGATCCAAAAAAGCAGAACATGTCTTCTGATTTAATGATTTTAAAATAGGAAATTAAGATATTTGGGACGAAACTTCTAAGACAAATTCTGCTTATTGTCTACACACAGGGTGCTCCAGGACTCAATTTATCTTTTATTTGGGGTATTATTTGCCCTCTGGGAAGCAGCTCCATTTGTGGCAGAACTGGAGGATGGACAGGAACCGTCAGTGCCCAGTACTGCATGGCCAGCGTTCTGCAAGATGCTAGCAGAGAGCAGTCTGCACCTGCTGCTTTCTCAGCAGATATCTCTATCAGCCGAACTACCGGACATTCTGAAAGCCCTAAGATATGGGTTCTGGTTGGGCGCAGTGGCTCACGCCTGTAATTCCAGCATTTTGGGAGGCTGAGGTGGGTGGATCACGAGGTCAGAAGTTCAAGACCAGCCTGACCAAGATGCTGAAACCCCATCTCTACTAAAAATACAAAAATTTGCTGGGCGTGGTGGCGTGCGCCTGTAATCCTAGCTACTTGGGAGGCTGAGGTAGGGAACTGCTTGAACCCGGGAGACAGAGGTTGCAATGAGCCAAAATCGTGCCACTGTACTCCAGCCTGGCAACAGAGTGAGACTCCATCTCAAAAACAACAAAAAGAGATATGGGTTCTGCCCCATGGAGCTTGTGATTTAGCTAAGGAGAGAAAACAAGCTCTTCAGACCAGAGCAAGCAGGCCCCATGATAGATGCCTCCTAGCCAGATGCTCTGGACAAGCTGCTAAGCTGCCCTGGGCCTGGCTCCTCATGGATGGGGTGAGGAGGGCTGTATCCACCCATAAGGGTTGCTGTTAGGGTCTCACACTGGCACAGAGCCTGCACAGGCCCGGGGCTCACCCACATCTCCTTTTCTGCTTTTCCCATTTTCATTCTACAAGACCCACCTAGACCACATCCAGATTCAGCTGGGTAGCTGGCTAGGAGAGAGTGTTCTGAGTACTGAGAGCACAGGAAGCACCCTGCTCCACCTCAGAGGCTGGTCGTGGGGGGCCCTGCTGCCCCATGGTGGGCAGCCAGAGGCCCTCACCAGGCAGGCCCCCATCCTCCTCCCAGCAACCGGAGCCCTGGTGTCTCCCCCGACCTTGCATAAGGTGCTGAGAGGTCACTCTCTTGTGACATCCCATACACTCTGGTCTGCTACTTGCAACTCCCTGTTGAAGCTCCATGAATGCCTTATTATTCTATCTTTCAGGCCACTCGGAGTGTGAGGGGAGACTCAGGACATCAGGAAACTCCTGGAAGACGTGCCCCACCAGCTCCCATAGAATCCTTGCTGCACAGCGCTTACCTAGGACCCTCAGGCTGGCCGAAGATGAGGCTGAACCCATGTCATTGACAGCAGTGCACGTGTAGATGCCGTCATCTTCCGTGGTCACACCCACAATCTTCAGAGTGGCCTCTCCCAGGTCACTGCAGCACAGATGGGAACACACTGGGTGTGAGAAAAGCTGAGCAAGTGGCGGTCAGCGCTGGCCTCCCTCCTTCAGGATCAAGGGAAGGCAGGTGCTCAGGTGCTGATGAGGAGATGAACACCCAGGCGTGAAATGTGGTCTCATGGAAGAGGCAGAGTGCCGAGGCGGCCAAAGAAATCCATCCGTGAAGGAGGTATTTCCAGTTGCCGAGTGACAAGATGGTGCTCCCAGCCAGTGAAACTCACCAGGAGTGGGCCTCCCTCACCTGTAGGAGATGCTGTAGTGACCATCGTTGTTCAAGGTGTTGTGTTCAGGGCCCTTCCAGGTAATTGAGGCTTTGGGGCGGCCACAGACTCGACATCTAAGAACAACGGTCTCCCCTGTCTCACAAGTGACCTCACTCAATGGAATGACGAATTCTGGGGGAACTGCACAGGAAAGGAGTCGTTAAAGGCCCATCAGCCCTGGCTCTTCCTCCAAACCCACTCACATGTCCCGGACAGACTGATAGGACCTAAGCTGCTGTGCACACCCAGAGCACCACGGAAAACCCATTTCCAGAGCCCACACTCAAGTGCTCTGAAACATACCCCCCAGATCCAGAATCATCTCAGACTAGAAGAAAAATAATAGAACTCACCATCATAAATGTAGTTGGGATTGAGAAGCTGAAATGGAAACAGCAAACAACCATTAATTGAAAGGAGCTATTTGAAGGTGGATTACTTTCATTGTAGGGCTACAATTATTGTTGAAAGATTTGTAGAAATTGACTTGCCCGGGCATCAATCAAAACAAACCACATTTTCACTTTACTCAAAAGCCTCATGTCACACTAATTTGGGTGGGTCTTTTTCTTCCTACCCACAAACACAAAAACACTGCTTATTCTCATGCTACAGGCTGAGTCCGGCTGGTCCTCAGATGCCTTCCTGATGCAGAGCAGCACCCTGGCCCACAGTGCTTAGAGCCAAAGGAGACACCTTCTTTTTCTCCAGGCAATTCCCTCCCCCAGGCTTCAGGCAATCCCATTACAGAGGACTCAGAGCTGACTGAAGTTGCCCCCAAGGGAATCTGTCACAGCTAGGGAGCCCATGTGCACCCCCACATCTAGCCACTTCTCCTCTGCTCTAAGGCAGAAGCATTGAAGGAAGCCTGAACCCTAGCTTCTCTGCATCTCTCCTCTGCTCTAAGGCAGAAGCATTGAAGGAAGCCTGAACCCTAGCTTCTCTGCATCTTCACTGTTTCTAAGAGCCTAGTCTCTGTGTTCGTCATAAGCCACATGTGCACCTGGGGTGGTGTGCAGGGGTCTACCTGGTTCTTTGCAGGCCACACACATCCCTGTGGCAGACAACGTAGTGCCCCTAACAAGACCCTGCAGGGCTGGTGGGTGGGAGGGAAGTCATGAGCAAGCCCGGCTCCAGCTCTGCAGTCTCCGCCCTCCCTGATCCCTTCTCTCAAGCTGGGATGACACGGGCTCCTGAGGACCCCCGAACACACCTTCACAGATACCTTGTTGCTGAGTCCTTCCCGTGACTTCCGATAACCATTCTCTAACTTGCCTTCCCTTTTGCCGTCTTTATCTTTTTTCTCAGATTTTTTCCTTAAACGGAGTGCTGTGTGCCAAGATGTTGACTTCCTAGGGGAAAAGAACACACTGTGGGTATTACGCCTTTCCAGCATTCACCAAATGATACCTGAAGTGTTAAAGGAAAGCTGTATATTCAACTTAAGTGTGTGCAGGGGGATGGGAAATCCTCTAGGAACAGTGACCTCTGTTAAAGAAAACGTTCCTGTGATTCTCAAGAGCTAGGAGATAAAACCAACAATCTCTTAAATCAAATTTTAAGGATGAAACTATAAAGGTGCCTGTGATAACTGATTTTATGTATGATCTGACTGGGTCATAGGATGCTTAGATATTTGGTCAAATGTTATTCTGGGTATTCCTATGAGGGTACTCCTGAATGAGATGAACACTTTGATGGATCCAGTAAAGAACAGTGCCCTTCCTAAGGTGAATGGCCTGCATCCAGTCAGCTGAAGGCCTTAAGGGAACACCGAAAGTATTGTCTCCCAAGCGAGAGGGCCTAGATAGTTTTCTAGCAGACTCTTCAGACGGTCTGCACCACGTGCTCTCCTGGGTCTGAAGCCTGCTGGTCCACACTGCAGATCTGGACTTGCCAGTCTTCATAACTACGTGAGACAATTCCTTATCATAAATCCATTTCTAGACAGGCATACCTTAGAGGTCGTGGGGATCAGTTCCAGATCACCACAATAAACTGAGTCACAATCAAGTGAGCCACATAAATTTTTGGTTTCTTAGTGCATATAAAAGTGATGTTTATACTATATTAGAGTCTATTATATGTGCAATTATATTATGTTTCAAACACATACATACCTTAATTAAAAACACTTTATTTGCTAAAAAATGCTAACTATCATCCGAGCCATCAGTGAGCCACAATATTTTGCTGGTGGAGGGTCTTGCCTCAATGCCTAGGGTGGCTGATTAAGGTGGTAATTGCTGAAGGCTGGGGTGGTTGTGGCAGTTTCTTAAAATAAGACAAGAAGTTTGCCACCAGTCCCCCTGTTACAAAAGAGTTTTCTGCAGCATGTGACACTGACAGCATTATACCCAGAGCAGAACTTCTTTGGAAATTGGAATCAGTCCTTTCAAACCCTGCTGTTACATTATCAAGTAAGTTTATGTAGTATTCTACATTATTTGCCAACATTTAAACAGTGTTCATAGCCTTTTCACAAGGAGTAGATTCCATTTCAAGAGACCATTTTCTTTGCTCACTCATAAAAAGCAGTTCCACATCTGTTCAAGTCTGATGATGAGATTGCAGCTCCTCAGCCCCCATTTCAGGCTCCATTTCTGATCCCATGTTCCTTGTTCTTTCTACCACATCTGAATTACTTCCTTCAGTGAAGTCTTAAAACCTTCAAAGTCAACTATGAAGTTTGAAATCATCTTCTTCCAACCTACTGTTAATTAATGTTAATATTTTGACCTCCTCCCGTGATTCATGAGTGTTCTTAAATGACATCTGGAATGGTGAATCCTCTCCTGAAGGTTTTCAATTCACTTTGCCCAGATCACTTGGAGGCATCACTACCTATGGCAGCTATGGCGTTACAACGTGAATTTATGTCTTTTTTTTAAATTGAGACAGAGTCTCGCTTTGTTAACCAGGCTGGAGTACAGTGGGATAATCTAGGCTCACTGTAAACTCCGCCTCCTGGGTTCAAGCCATTCTTCTGTCTCAGTCTCCTGAGTAGCTGGGACCACAGGTGCCTGCCACCACGCCCGACTAATTTTTGTATTTTAAGTAGAGACGGGGTTTCACCATACTGGTCAGGCTCATCTTGGACTTCTGACCTCAGGTGATCCACTTGACTTGGCCTCCCAAAGTGTTGGGATTACAGGCATGAGCCACTGTGCCCAGCCCAAAATATATTCTTAAATAAGGCTGGAAAGTTCAAATTACTCCTTGATCCATGGGCTGTAGCACGGACGTTGTCTTAGCAGGCAAGAAAACCTGAATCTCCTTGTACGAGCTCTGGGTTGACCGGGTACACTGTCAAAGAACAGCATTATTTGGAAAGAATTTTTGTTTTCTGAGCAGTACGTGTGGACAGTGGGCTTAAAATACTCAGTAAACCATGTTGTAAATACATGATGTACAGATGTGCTGTCAGCCAGGCTTTGCTGTCCATTTCTAGAGCACAGACAGAGATGTTACAACAGCAGGCATTTCAGGGAGATGAAGACTTATAAAAACCAGCACCAAATTCAGTAAAATAACACTCAGTGTAGCAAAACTGGCTTCATGTTTCCTAAATAAATTAACCTTTTGGTATATAAGGTGGGATCGTAATTAGCATAATTCTTACGGATCCCAGGATTTTCAGAATGGTAAATGTGCATTGGCTTCAACTTAAAGTAACCAGCTGCATTAGCCCCTAACCCTTTCATGTTATTGGATTAGCTTTCCTTAAACATGAACCAACCTCTGCTGGTTTCCAACTTTTCTTCTGCAGTTTCCTCATCTGTCTCAGGCTTTATAGAACTGGAGAGAGAGGGGGCCTTATTCTGGGTTGGGCTTTGGCTTAAGGCAAAGTTGTGGCTTGATCTTCTGTTTAGAACACTCAAACTTTCTCTGTCTCAGAAAAGGCTGTTTCACCTTCTTACTATTCGTCTGTTTAGTGGGTAGCACTTTTATTTCCTTTGCATTCATGATTTGGCTGTTTGGTGCGAGAGGCCTAGCTTTTGGCCTGTATCCACTTTTGACATGGCTTTCTCATTAAACTTCTAACTTTTGATTTAAAGTGAGGGACATGTAAACATTTAGAGGCCACTGTAGGGTTATTAACTGGTCTAATTCTGATATTATTGTGTTGCAGGCAGGCCTGAGGAGAGGGAGACAGATGGGGGAATGGACAGTTGGTGGAGTAGTTAGAACACACACATTTATTACGTTTGCCATCTTGAATGTGTGCAGTTCACAGTTGCTCAAAACAATTATAATAGTAACATCAAACATCACTATGTATCATCATAACAAATATAACAACAAAATGTGTCAATATTGTGAGAATCACCAACATGTAACATAAATACAGAGTGGGATCACATGTTGTTGGATAAATGGCACTGAGAGACTTGCTTGACATAGGGCTGCCACAAAACTCGTGTAAAAAGCCAATTCTTCAAAGCACATTAAAGCAAAGCACACACACAAAAGAGGCGTGCCTGTGTCTATGCTGGTATCTATGCACACTCCCTACTGGTTCTGCTCCTCTCAAGGACCCTGACTAAAATGGGGCCTAAGAATGTATTTTGGAGAAAGAAAAATAGGTGATATTTTCCCCTTGGGTTAAAAAAAAAAAACCAGCCAGGTGTGGTGGCTCATGCCTGTAATCCCAGCACTTTGGGAGGCTGGGGTGGGTGGATTATGAGATCAGGAGTTCAAGACAAGGCTGATCAATGTGGTGAAACCCTGTCTCTACAAAAAATACAAAAATTAGCCGGGTGTGGTGGCGTACACCTGTCGTCCCAGTTACTCAAGAGGCTGAGGCAGGAGAATCGCTGAACCTGGGAGGCGGAGGTTGCAGTGAGCCAAGATCATGCCACTGAACTCCAGCCTGGGTGACAAAGCGAAACTCCATCAAAACAAAACAAAACAAACAAACAAACAAAAAACACACTTTTGTGAGTTATGACTAACACAAAATGCTGTCAGATGGGATTCCTTAACAATGGGCTAGAGCAGACTATTTCTAAATGCAGATTATTCAAAGACCCTGTGAGCATGAGTGTGAGTGTGAGATGGAAGGCCACCCATCTTCCCATGTGCTCAGAGCTGAACTGGAATGAACACCCCAGTGCTGCTCTCCCTTCCACATGCTTACCCCGGTTGGGGTCTTGTGCCTCAAGGGCGCTGTGGCCCCTCCCTCTGCTGCCTGCCCAGCTGCTGTTGCTGTCAAGCACTCACTTGAGAGTCCCGTCGGGGTTCTCCATGATGACTGCACTGGTGTGGCCCAGGACAAAGCCCGGAATCCAGCCCTCGGCTGCAGGGCACTGGTCAGTGGCGGCTCGGAACACCAGAAACATGTTCTGCTGGTTGCTGGCCAGAATCTGAACGACCTCTCCTTGGTAGACGTTGATCTCATCCTCCTTCACTGCCGTGTAATCGTGTGTCACCAACATGGTGGAGATGTTGCTACTGCTGCTGCTTTCACTCTGCAGAGGGACAGATGAAGACAGAGAAGGCAGGGGGAACTGAAACAAGGCCTGATCACATGAAGTCCCGTGCCAGTGTGCCCCGCGGCACCATGACCCAGTGCAGGGCTCACCGGGCAGCACCGAAACTTTCAACTTTTTCTTTACCCTCTGGCTAACTCTGTGCATCTATTTCAATAACTGAAAATGTGGGCTCTCTAGAAAGCAATTTAGGGATGCTCTTAAAAAATTCACTGCAATAATGACTCTGGTGTTGGGAGCTGGTCACACTGTGACCTTCCTTGCACCCTCACAGGAACATCTCAGACCTCATGTTAACGCCATGTTAGGTTACTCCTTTTTTTTTTCAAGACTACAATGTCACTTCTCATTTACACGTTAGGCTATTCCTAAGCAAACAGCCGTGTCACTGTACCATTATCAGTTGAAAAAAGGTATTCAAATTAACTGATGCAAAATTAATCTTCATCTCACTGACAGATTCCATAATAGAGAAGTCCCCAAATCTTCCAGATAGAATGTTCACTGGGAATGCATATTTTAGAATCATGCTAAGTTGCTGACATGCCTGATCATTTCTATTTCTTTGCTTCAAAAACAACATGGAGCACCTGAACATAAATCGATCACTATTCTGCTCTTATGGAGAGCAGCTCTGTCTCCAGTGTAAGAGCTTGCTGGGAGTCCCTCTTATGAGCTTGCATGACTCAAGTGTCCTCAAGGCTATTGCCATGGGAACACAACACAAAGCATCCCAGTGCGGCTCACCACAGGTGCTGTGACTCAAGCTTTGGGAACAGATTCTGGTGTGGGATGCGTACCCCGCCCCACTTAAGCCTCTGCCCCCATGGGACCAGGTCTCTTTAGTCACAGGGCTGCCATGCAGCAGGAACTCAATTCATGGTGAGTGGCCCAGTCAATGAGGCCAGAGTGACTGGTAAGACAAAGAGCGTTTCTTAAGGCCCTACCCAGGCCACACACTGAGTGGGGTTAGCTGCTAAGAAGAAACACAAATGGCAGTGTTTGTCCCAAACTCCCATCTAGCGCGTGGCCTATGGCTCTGGGTGGAGGAGACGAACGCGCAGATCCCCCGCCAGCTCCTGAGGCCCCTCTATGGAGTAGAATGTGAGAAATGGCATCTGGTGCCTTGTTCCCGTGAACTTGTGCTCAAAGGCCTCCACCGAGGACACTGTTGGGATGTTCATGGATTCCCAAGACTCCAAAGGTGCTAGCTTCTGCTGGGCTCTCCGACGCCCTGGGTAAATCCTGGGTCAGTGCAGACACAATTAGAACACCCTGCTCTACCGCCTCTCAGCCCTGGTCTACTGAGCTGGTATCAGGACATGCTGGAGCAGGTGGTGGACTGCTGTAGCTCGCCAAGAGGACCGGAGGGAAGAGACCTCTGGCCCTCCTCCACGATGTCAAGCATGAGAGAGCCAACAAGCCAGCCACTGGGAATTCTAGGTACCAGGGCTCTGAATCGAAACCTGTAGTGCATATTTAAAATAAACACGGTGGTGCTGCCCGGCTCCTGTCCTCGTCTCCGTGGAGGAGTCTGCTTCTGTTCTCGTCCCTGTGGGTGCCCACTGTTTGCCTGTGGCTCCTCAGCTCAAACAATGTTGTACAGGGCAGGCTTTGGTTTGAGCATACTCATTTATGCAATATTATACTTTTAGCATGGACTTTAGTATTCTGACTTACATGGTAATGCTCAAGAGTTTTGAGATTACAAAGCTAAATTTCCAAGAATATGTAAACAGATAAACAACTTCAGAAGCATAGCTGCTTCTGATGATATACCAGGCTACAGTCTTAGAGTACTTTGCTACTATAATCATAACTATTAGTATTTTCTGGGCACCTCCTAGGTACCAGGCATTTCAAATCTATCCTGCTTAATTCTCACAACCACCCCACCAGTGGGCATGGCCGAGTCCTTGAGTGCAAGGTCAATGAGCTTGCACTGGCCACCTGGCCTGAGCAAGAAAAGCCAGGCTGGGGTGACTCCAATGTGCATGCACTTTTATTGCTGCCCAATAAAGCAGGCCAAAAGGCCAGACCGCAGGACCGCAGGAAGGACTGGTGCAGTCATGGTTTAGGCTGATCCACATCCATGTCACTCCTGCTGTCAGCAGAGATTTACAGAAGCTGCTCATCTAAAGGGGGAAGGAGGAAGGAGGAGCCAGGCTATGGGCTGGGTACAGCTGCTTGACTGTGACCACGGACAGCTTGACAGAAGTGGTCAAGGAGAGGGAGGCCTCTGCAGATCTCCAAGGGGACAGAAGCGCAAATGCGTATGGGCCGGGCAAGGCTGCAGGCCCTTTTAACTGATAGACTTCAGAATCCTGGAGGGCATTTTTTTTTTTTTTTTTTTTGAGATGGAGTCTCACTGTCACCCAGGCTGGAATGCAATGGTGCAATCTCTGTCTGCTGGGTTCAAGCAATTCTACATCAGCCTCCAGAGTAGCTGGGACTACAGTGCCACCATGCCTGGCTAATTTTTTGTATTTTTAGTAGAGACGGGATTTCATCATGCTGGCCAGGCTGGTCTCAGACTCCCGACCTTGTGATCTGCCCACCTTGGCCTCCCAAAGTGTTGGGATTATAGGTGTGAGCCACCATGCCCAGCCTGAGAGCATTTTTAAAGCCCCACTTAGGAGCTCTGAAGTCTTCCTATGTCTCTAGGGCGTTTCTGTAAGGAGGCATTTTGACTTGTCTGAAATCCTGTCCAGCAAGTTCCCTTTCCAGGTTCCCTGCCACATAAGAACAAGTGGGAAGAAGTGAGAAGGCAAAGGCAACTTTCCCAGCCTAAAGCTCGCAGGAACACATGCCACCTGCAGACTGCGCCTTGGCCTCAGAGTGAACATTCGGGATGGAGCCGGGGCACGTCTTCTTGTGAATATCCAGAGAAGACTGGCATTGGCTCCCATCTTGGAGCAGCTGAAGTGTTAATTCTGAAACACAGACTCTGAAATCTCCTCTTGTGCTGAATGGGAATGTGTCCAGGTTATGATGAGCTCCAGAGATGCTAATTGGCAGATTCAGTGAGGGTCACAGCTGTAAGGCCACTCCTGGATACTGAGTATCCAACTAAGTGATGATGGGTATAGCTTATTGCTGGGTTGACTGCATCTCTCCCTACCCACAATGGGATTGAAATATATGTTCAGATACTAACCCACCTCGCATATCTGCCTACCTAGCATGTCCAACCTACTGTGAGGCTGCCTTGCTCGGCGGTCACTACGGCGGATGCCTACCTGGCCACTTCAACTGTAAATTAATGTATCAAGACCCATTTGTTAATTTCTTCCCCAATTAAATATAGAGTTTAACAAAATACATAACAAAAAATAGTAGGAAAGGACAAGACCAAGTCAAACCAATTAAAGCATTAATAAGTCCAGAGGAAAGAGAAAGACATGCAAAAGCTAGACTGTTTTTTAATATAAAGAGAGACACAGACCCTTTTAGAGAAATGTATTTAAAAATTTATAAAGCGTTCAAACATACACTCATTAGAACAGTTCTATTCACTCACGCATGCCTTCAGGAAAGTGTTACGGGTCAGGCCATCTGCCCTGTAGGAAACAGGTGGGTAGGACAGTGAGGAAGCAGGAAACAGGGAAAACCCACACAGCAACCCTTGTGCTTGAGACGGCAGCATGAGTGATGGGCAAAACCAGGCCAGAGCCCGGCAGGCCACAGAGACCCACCCCAGCCTGCACTGCAGAGCCGCCTCGCCAGGTGCCCAGAGCAGTCTCTCTTCCAGAGTGACAGGGTGATGTAAAGCGTTCCCAGTGGACAGATTCTTTCCCCCCATTTTGTCATCTTAGTTTGCTTTGAGTTGCTGTTGGAAGTTTTCTTGAGGGAATGGTCTTCCCCAGCAGATGAGTCAAAAATGCCGCAAAGATAATTTAAGGCATAAAAGAGCAAAACCAAGCGATGAGCAAAAAGCTTAAAGTGTACAGGTTTCAATTTAAACAGGAGGTAGAGAGGAGGGAAAAGGACCCCTCCAAAAAATAGGTGCGTGAGGAAGGCAGAGGTTAAAAAACAAAGTTCCATGATATTCTGCTGGTTGGAAATGGAAGAAACCAAAAGACGCTGCGTTGAGAAGGTTAATGATCGGCTTGCTCTTATTAGGAGACACGAACAAAGCAAGGAGAAGTTAGTAGCGCTGCGGGCCGGCCCGCAGGAGGGTTAGCGCGGTCCCGCAGAGGTCGGGCGCCCGGGTGGGCGGCGGAGAGCGCTGGGCAGCCGAGTTAGTGAGGACAGCCGAGGCGGCGTTTAGAGGAGCTGGCGGGACAGAGGCAGGGGGGCGGGCGGCCGCGGGCGCCCCGGCGCGCTTACCCCGTTGCTCTGGGTGGACTGCACGGACTGCTCGCTGGCCGACGAGCAGGTGCTCATGCGGTCAGTGTCTTTGCCGGGGGCCGCGTGGCGGGGCGTCTGGCGCTGGAGGGAGTCGCTGTCCCCCGGGAAGGTGAAGGAGCCTGGTCGGCTGGCGGGGGAAGCGGGGATGGAGCTCCAGAAGGAGCCCCCCTTCTGCAGGGGGCTGCTGGGGGGGAAGGGCTCCTTGCCGAGAGGAGAAGGGACCGCGCTTGAGAGCGGCGAGTTCAGCGGCGACGCGGCCCCGGGCCGGGGCTTCCCCAGCGGCAGGGCACCCAGGCTCGCGCGCGCTTCCTTAGCGGGGGCGTCCGGGCTCGGCCCCGAGGCGTTCGCGGCGCATTTCCTGGGGCTCTCCAGCACCTTCATCTTGGGGATCGGCTCCGCTTCTCGCTCCGACCCCTCGGCGTCCGCGCTGGGGGGCCGCCTGCCAGGAGCGCTGGGGCTGGCCTCGGGGGCCACGCAGGGAGGCAGGGAGGGCCCAGGAGTGGACGTACCTGACATCTTGTCTGCCTCTGCCTGGCTCGAGGCTGCAGAGGAGACCAGCACGGGGGGGTGGTGTCGGACAGGCTGGGGGATCCGGGAGGGCCGGCTCCTGCTCGTGCTGGGGGCGCCGCCGCAGCTTCCGGGGCCGCTGCTGTGGCCGCCGCTGCCGCCACTGGGAGCCCCGCTGCTGCCACTGCCCCCACCACCGCCGCCGCCCCCGCTGCCGCCGCCGCCGCCGCCCCCGCTGTGGTTCCTCTGGTACTCGATTGGTGATGTCAAGGCTGTAAGACAAGCAGTGGGAGAGACTGGGTCAGGGCGCCACGCAGCACACCGCAGGGTGAGGGAAGAACGGGGCCCACCCCAGAATGGGTCATGGGGCAGCCACCCATGCAAGGGCACAGGGCAAGCCCACCCATCGGCAGAGCTAGAAGAGACCTCTGCTTGTCAAGGGATTGGGGTGCCTGCTGAGTGCAGCGGGTGGAAAGGCCGCATCCCTCAGCGCATTCCAGACAAAGGGCCAGTGTGGATGGAGACCAAGGCAACAGATTTGACTAGAACTCCTCCAGCTACCAACTAGCTTCCGCCAAGGTCTTGACTAAACCCGTGGTGAAAAAGAAACCCCGGGGCTGCCCTGGAGGCGGTTTCATAGACCATCTCTGCTCTGCGGGCTGAACACAGCCCTGAGGGAAGCTAAGGCGCTCCCGGAGGCCCCCCGGGAGGGGGCTCTCCTATGTCTTGACTTGCGTGCCTCAGTTTTCTTACATCTTCATTGTGGAAAAACATAGAAATCAGGCCAAAACATATACAGAAACGTGAAGAAACAAAGTGTTAAAGCCTTTGAGAAATACAACAAGCAGATGCCGCCCCCAGCTCCAGCCCCAGGCATTCTACAAACTCTGTGCTGGCCACAGCCTCTTCCAGGAGTAGGGGTAGCGCAAGAGGCAGGTGAAACGGTCCCAAGCTCCCGTCCCATTAGCGATCTCCTTAATCCTCTAGCATAGGTATTATTAGTTACTCAGCTGAGTGGGTTGACATCATAGGCCATGCTTGCAATCTAGGGGCAGTTCATTCTATTTTAAAGACAATGCTAAAAATTTAGAGCATTCTCAATTCCAAGCTATGGATTGGAACTCAATGCACCACATCAGAACAACATGTTAAACCTTCTCCATGCCCAAGGGACTGTCCCTTCCTATCCTCATGCACCCAACCCTAGCAGCAGATTAAATGATTATCAGCTTGCAAGCAGGATGGAGACCTGGAATTAACACCCAGGCAACAAACACTTGGCCAAAAATGCCATGAGTCTTGAGATTTTTCAGAGTGCCTACGTTCCTGGTTCTTGAATGTCATGCAAGGTGCATGGGTGGCTTTCTTGTAACAGAGAATATTACAACATCCTACTGAGCCTGGGCAGGTATAGATGCAGAAGATGAATATGAACATGAAGGACAGGACCCAGAAGAGACAGATTACATGAGCACATAGCTTCCGACTGATTTCTCAAAGTTCTTCGCTGATCATCAAATTAAAAGCTAGTGTTGAAGCCCCAACAGTTGCAAAGAGATCATATATATTAAGAGGGTAGTGTGGCCACACCTGCTGTGTTCTACAGCTCCTCTGCAATCCCTCAAGTCATGGAAGCAGGGAAAGACTGAATTATCTCTTATACTTTCTAATGGGGAAATGAGGTGTGGGTGTGCAAGGTCCTCATGAAGGTCTTTGGCCAATGCCATCTGCCTTGTGTTCTTCTCGCAAACTCCTCTTCCTAGGACAGGGCCCTCATGCACATTCTGTGTGAGACAGAGTGGAACAGTGGAGCTGCAAGGTGCACAGACCAAGAGCCAGATGGCTGCTCTTCGTCCTGACTCTGCCCCCAACAACTTGTGGGACTTGGGGCAAATTACTTAGCTGCTCAGCACTCCAGCTTTCTCATCTGTAAAGGGGGATAACAATAGTCCTGGCCACACAGGGTGGCTGTGAAGATGAAATAAAGCAATATCTAGACAGTGCCTGAGGTGTGGTAAGTGCTAAATTCTGTCATTACTACAAGTACCAATGGGAGAGAGAAGATTAAAAAAAAGTGTGTACATTAGAAAAGACAGCACACGTCTAGTAACAGAAACACACATTACCATTTAGAAAATTGCGCTGGTTTTCTAAAATTTGGTTGATTTCATGGATCCAAGTTTGCCGGACACTTGGACTAGATGAATGCAAAATGAAGGTCTCTACCACGTCACCCGTCCTTGATGTCAGAGCAAATTTACAGGGATCATTTTCCACATTTTCCTCCAGGCAAAGGCAACTCACCTTAAAAAAAAAAAAAGCATTCTTCATAATAGCTAACAGGTGGAAGAAAATGGGGGATAATATGCACAGTTATTCAGCCTTAATGAGGAAAGAAATTCTGGCACATGCTACTGAGAGGGGAGAACCCTTGCCTCCTTTAATTTCACTTCTTCCCCATTCTTCTAAATGGGAAGGAGACTGAAGAAGGAAGAAAAAAAAATGAAATAAAATACCAAATAGCTGGGAAAATAACTCCCTCTTTAGTTCCCAGCATCTCTGCTATCTGCTAACTCTGAAAAAGCTGCAAATGAATGCTATCTTTGCCACTGGAGCCCACCACTGGTTCATGCCCCCACGTCTCCACAGACCAGGCTCCCTCCTGGAAACACCTCTGCTAATAAACAGCTTATTGCTTTTGTCTTGTCTCTGTAAGCCCCCCTCCCTTACTGGTCCCCACTCACATTGCCTTTGAATTAGCAAATCAATGAAGCCAAAAGACTGTAAGGTTGGGCATCCAGTAAATGGACAATGACATAGTTCCGACTCAGTTTCCTCTTTAGCCTTGTAAGTCTATAAAAGGGGAGAGAAGCTGCAGGTTGGGGAGCTTGGTGAATGAGGCTGAAGCTCCCTGCAGCTCCCGGCTGAATAAAAAGCCACTTCCTTCCTCAGTTTGGTGTTCGAGAGGCTTGCTCCCCGCTGCTCCTGCTACACTATGACATGGATGAACCTTGAAGACGTTATGCTGACTGAAATATGCCAGTCCCAAAATACAACTATTGTTATGATTCCATATATAGGAAGTCCTTAAAATAGTCAAATTTGGAGATAGAAAGTAGAGTGGAGGTTGCCAGGGGCATGGGGAGGGGGAAGTGGGGGGTTAGTGTTTAATGGGTACAGAGTTTTAGTTTTGCAAGATGAAGAGTTGTGAAGATGGATGATGCTGATGGCTGCACAACATGAATGTTCTTAATTCCATGGAGCTAGACATCTAAAGATGGCACATTTTATATTATGTGTATTTTACCACAATATAGAATTAAGGCACATTTATCTCCACTGGCCAAGGGCGGAGTGAAGTTCATCCTACTGCAATACTGAAACAAGCACTTTTCAGCTCAGCTGCCATTTTTACTGCCTCAGAAAGCATCTGAAGCTTTTCAATGCCTCTTAGGTACATGGGGATGACCAGGCTGTTAAACTAACTAAGAGTTTGAACTAACAGCTTGAACAATTAACTAGAAATGTGGGTCTGGGATTACCTGTTACCTAAACCCCTCTATGATGACTCAGTATTTATCCCTTACTTCCCAGAGAATAAATGACATCATTAAACAAATCTCAAGTATCAATAAAACCTATGTTATAAAAGTACATGTGATATCATGATTAAAATATGCAAAATAATTTTATAAAAACAGTATGTAAAAAATATATACAAAATTCCTATGGTGCTGGAGTAATTTTCTGCCAAAAGACTTGTGAAAAGAATGGGTAGGCATTTCTCAGGGTATGGGTGCAGTACAGGGGATGAGTGCACAGTTGAGAGGACGGGGCACAGTTCAGGGGATGAGGCTCAGGTGTAGTTGTGAGCATAGAGGGTCTGTGCCCAACATGGCCTCAGGGTGACGGGCCTCAAGAGACGGAGTCTAGAGGGGCAGGTGGGAAGTGGGAGGTGTGAGGGCCTGCAACCCGGCCTTATGCAGAGGCAGCCTCCTTCTCCAGCTGTCTGGCTCCAGAGCTTTCCAAGGTGCTGGAGGATAGAGACCCCTGCCCTGGCATCTGTGCCCATGGACCGACCCACCCTGGTTTAGGCAAGTGGAGGCTGCTGAAGATAGTCAACAAAAGCCTGAGTGGGGAGCAGGATGGGGGAGGATGCAATGCTCCATCTGTGTGCTGTGAGGCCTGCAGGGTGTGCAGGATGGGAGAGTTCCCAGTCCCTGTCCCTGGTGGCATAGGGCAGGAGGTGCTTCCAAAGGGAAGTGAATCTCCCTTCTGACCTAGCTGCTGAGCCAGAAGGAACCTGGCAGAGGCGTGTGTCTCCCAGGGATCATCTGCTGGAACCTCAGGCCTTCCCTCTGCTCCTCTCTACTTCACCCTTGGTTTGGCCCTTTTATAGACTTGAGGGCCATCTGCAATTATTTTCTTTGTCCCTCTGTCTTCCTTTCCTATTAGAGGATAAGCTATATCAAGGCAGGGAGGGCATCCATCTGGGCCATTCCTGGAGCCCTCTCGCCTGCTGCTGAGTGCTCAGTACCTCCTTGGTGAGTGGAGGAAGAGAAGAAGACACTGAGTTAGCTTTTACTCTGATCATACAGCAGTCCCCCAAATCCATGCTGTCATATCTAAACCAGTTTTTCATGGTCTTAGAGAAGGTGGTGCACAAACACTACCCATGACCAGTTCTTTTCTTCATGGTAAGAACAAATGGCTGTGGTCACAAAGAGGTGTGTACAAGACATCAGCCACTCAAGAACAAAGACGGTAAAAGAGAAAATGAGGTGAATTCAAGGGCTCTGAAATATACTAGAAAATTATCAAATACCTAAAGCAAGCATCGAGATACGTCATGATTAAAAGGAAACAGTGTACCAGTGTGATGGGTACATGCGCTGGCACAGAGAACACACACGTGAACACATTACCTTGATACTGTTCTTAAACAGGAATCCTGGCATGGAGAAGCCCTTCTTTTTATCAAGTGGCTCGCTGAATATGACAATCTGCTCAAAGAGGAAGATGCGCCTCTCTCTGCAGCGAGGCAGAAGCCCTGCATCTTGGTCTGTAACCAAGAATGTGTCCTGCAAGAGCAGTTTACCCTGGGCAACGATTTTACCCTAAAACAAGAAATAAAGGGGGAGAAGAAAACATTGCATTCTAAGTTATCTGAAGCTCTGTTTTCTTTAGACTTCCTCCTACAGAATAATGTATTTTTTAAAATTAATTTATAGAGCTTAATTTTTTTTTCTTTTACTATTCTTGGCCCTAAACAGAAAATTTTCTAAATAAAATTCTTGCCAACCTTTGTATAGACTTCTGGCGCCTCAGTTACCATCACAGATTAAAAGTGGAATTTTAAATGTCTGGTTTATACTAGAACAGTGGTTCTCAAAGTTTGGTTCCTGGGCCGCCAGGAGGAACTCACCCGGCATGCACGGGAGTTTTCAGAAGCCCTCCAGAGGCTTCTGTGTGTGCTTGAGAGAGAACCACAGCACTAGAACTTTAAAAGCTAATTCTCTAGCAAAACAGCAGGTAAGAAAATAAACACTTCTCCTGCCTCCTTAACTCAGTAGTCAAATTTTCAAAAGAAGATTCTGGTTCTGAATTAATCTTGAGGATATGTAATAGGTAATATGTAATATGAATAGTCTAGCAACTCATACCAACATATCTTAGACTAATGAGGAAGTATCAAGTCCCAGAGATGACAGAGTGGGGCCTCCTAGGTCCTACTATATCCATAGCTACCACGGTCTTAAATGCTGAGGAAAGGATTCAGCTCTTATAGAACTAGGCCCAAGAGACAAAGCCCAGTCCTGCTTGTTTCTGCCATGAGGCACTGGGCTTTGAGCACAAGCAAGTCCCCACCACCCTCTGCCAAAAAAAAGTTGAAAGAAAATAGCAATCAGATTGAAGTAAACTGAGAGAAGCCAGAAAAACCAAGTGAAAAGAATCAGCTTTCTCCACGTGGAGAGAAATAATCCAAGACAAAGGAAAGAGATGGAAGGCAGAGGAGCTCTCTTAAAGAACAAGAGCCGCATTACATCGAATCCTTGCAGCCGCCCCACATTCATCATGTCGTTGCACCGCCTGGGTACTATGCACATGACTTCCACAGCTCTCTGTGGGAGGGGAGAGAGAAGAGTGACAGTTCAAGTTCCTCTAGGGAAAATCTGACATGCTTACCCTCCGACCTGAAGAGGTTCCGTTCTCCTTCCCCACCCTCTAGTGTGCAGGACTCATGGAGATGTGCTGGAGATACTCTGTCACCCTCTGCTCTGACCCCCTCCCAGGGCCAGACCACTGTTAGGAGACACTTGGGGATTAGGAGAAGAAGCTGGTGGGGATTTGAGGGGGGACACAGTTGCTGACACATGTACCTCTAATTCTGATGTATCCAGACTGGCCTTTTTGGAATACTTGAGGAAGTCCTGCAAGGGAAATGGAGAGGACATGATAATGGTGACAAAGATAACAGCAGCTAACCTTCATTATTTTTTTAAGAGACAGGGTCTCAGCATGTTGCCCAAGCTGGTCTTGAACTCCTGGCCTCAAGTGATCCTCTTGCCTCAGCCTCCTGAGTAGCTGGGACTACAGGAATGAGATACTGCACACAAGCTAACCTTTTTGACCAGTCACACTGTGCTAGACACTGGGTTCAGCACTTTAGTTCTGAAAGAAATTTCTGCAGTGGCTATTCACAGGAGCAGTCGTAGCTCACTGCAGCCTCCAACTCCTGGCCTCAAGCTGTCCTCCTGCCTCAGCCTCCCAAGTAGCTGAGGCTACAGGTATGCACCACCACACCTGTCTGGTGGCTTAGTTCTACTTTATCATATTATTATCTGAGTAACACCATAGAAAGGCATTCCCACGTAGATTTCAAGCTGCAATACAGAGTCAGACCAGATCTATCCGATGGTTCCTGCTTAATCCAAGACAAGCTCTTTGTCCCTCTCTATATCCAGGTCCTAAGTGTTGTATATGAAGGAATCTCAATACACTTGAAGTCACTTTGATCACAGAAAAATACGTGACTCTGCCTTCAGTTATGCTTAAGAATTTAAATCAATCAGGAGGGTGGCGAGGGTGGGGAGGGATAACATGGGGAGAAATGCCAGATATAGTATGCACCTAAAGTGAAAGAAAGAAAGAAAGAAAGAGAGAGAGAGAGAGGAGAAAGAAAGGAGAAAGAAAGAAAGAGAGAGAGAGAGAAAAGGAGAAAGAAAGAAAGAAAGAAAGAAAGACTTTAAACCAATCAAGGGCTAGTGCTAAGCCAACAGAGAGGAATACAAAAGGATTCCAAATTTAATTTTATCCAAGACTCCAAGAAGATTTGAAAATAATTAAAGTTGATACATCTGAAGAAAAATCATTAGCATTCCAGGGTCTGTGGTAGGGAAAAAAAAGTTCACTTTTACTGGTATTTTCCTTCTGAACTTGATGTACATAAAAAATTGAGAAAAGTGTTTTCTTAAATTTTTAAGGATTAACTTATCAGAAATAATATACTTTTGACACAAATGATTCCCCTGTCCTACCAAATCCTTCTTTCCCCCACTGAGTCTTATTCTCTTGGCAAACTCTCTCCTGACACTAGAGTCTGTCCTGCCGCCTCCTCACCTTCAGTAAGAGCTGATACTTCATGATTCTCTGCACCGGTTTGATCAACAGATCTGTGAGCTGCAACCTGTGGCCGAGACGCTGCTTTAAGTCCTGCAGTTTTAAGAGAGGGAAAAGATCGTCAGTGCTGTTCATTAAAGGGCAATTTTTTAGTCTTTGTAATTGTCAGAAAGATTACAACACTGGCAGTAAAAGTAATGAGGAAAAAAAGCATTAGACTACCTGCAGCTTTGCTAGTTCACAGAATTTCCAAGTTTTTACACTTTCACCTGAGTTGTTTTTCAAAACAGTCTTTTATGCTTGTTTAAAGGCATTTTTTTCAATTGCTTTCTTTTATTCATACAAATATATATATTATTTTTAGGCTATATGTTTATGCCATAAATTATTTTGAATTTGTAATGAGACTTAAGTGTAACACTTACAAAAACCCTTATTTTTAACAATGACTGCAGTCTTCTAAATGCCAAGAGTATGACCACAGGCTAAATTCATACACATTTTTCTGATTTATCGGAAAGAAATACAGGTTCAGAAGTCTTATCACTCAGGCTAATTTTCTGAGGAAATTAGGCTCCTGGGAAACAAATGATACTTTAATTTTTAGAAATCAGTGTGGAACAAAAGATTCAGAAATACTTTCTGTTTGTATCTTAGGTCTTACCTCAAAAAAGGTATCAATGTATTCTGAGACAATGTGCTCAGACTTTGGTTTATTTTGACAATAAACTATGTACATGTGCAACCTTCTCTCCTAGGAATAAAAAAGGCAAACAGATGGGTTATAACAATTATAACAACGGGAAGTTCAATTAGAATGCAAGAGCACACGCACATTTCAGCACATTCACAAAAGGAATCATCTTAAAACCAAGCTGCATGGCTAAGGCTCTCGGGAGTAAATTCCAGATTCACGATGTAGATCAGTATTCTATGGTGTGGCTCCAAAACCAGTCCTTCCCCATCACTCCCTCACACACACCAAACCCTTCACTTTACAGTACCAAATACCAGCAAATACCACAGGTAGCAAAATAACACTTTTTTTTGTTTGTTTGTTTTTAAAGAGACAGAGTCTCACTCTGTTGTCCTGGCAAGAGGGTGTGGTGTGATCATGGCTCACTGCAGCCTTGAACTCCTGGGCTCAAGTGATCCTCCCACCTCAGCCTCTGAGTAGCTAGGACTACAGGCATGTGTCACCATGCCCAGTTAATTTGTAATTTTTTTTTTTTTTTGTAGGGATGGAGTGTTGCTATGTTCGCCCAGCCTGGTCTCAAAACTCCTAGCCTCAAGCAACCCTCCTGCCTTGGCTGCCCAAAGTGTTGGGAGTACAGGCATGAGCCACTACACCTGGCTGAAACACCCTTCCTTAATATTAAACAAAGAATTAGAGCCATCACTCCAAACTCTGCCAATAGTCCTATTAAGCCTGGCTGGTTTTAGTAGAGAAGAAAAAGCTCTTTAATCTCAAATCCTAAAGGCAGACGGGGAAAAAAAATGTAGACAACGAGGCTTTCCATAAATCAGTGATCCTCAAAGCATAGTGTGCAGACCCCCAGGACCCCCTGAGGTTGTTGAGTGGCTCTATTAGCTCAGAACTATTTTCTAATACCACTAAGATGTCAGCTGCCCTTTTCATTGTGCTGACATCTGTGCTGATGTGCAACGCCAATGGTGGGTGAAATTATTGGCACCTTAGCAAAAACTCTTCACTGCCACAAATTTATAGTTAAAAAACAAAAACAAAAAACAAGTTTCATTTAAGAATGTCCTGGATGAAGTAACAAACATTATTCTTTCCATTAAAACTCAACCACAGCAAAATAAGCCTGTCATTTCAAGGCAAACAACCAGTAGTGTTTATTAATGAAAATTACAGCTTTCAAGCAAAAATTTAAAAATTTGGAAAATATATATCTGCCAGTCTGAACTTGACATTTAAAGACTTCAAAGAGATAGGTGATGAAATTTAAAAAATTCAAATTTTTGGATACTGTGTAACGAGACGTGTCGGCCTCTGGAAGATCTGCCTGTCCGTGATCTGCTATCTTCCAGTGGACTGATGCCTGATGTCACAGGACCATGCACGGCTGCAAGCGCCTCAAAGCCCAATAGTTCAATGTATTTAATGTCACAGCAAGGGAGAAGTTCATGGATAGGTTTTCAGATTCCACACTGCAACTAATTCTTAAGCAATGATCAGTTGTCAAGTTCGGGTGTAGTATCTAAGAAAACTATATAATTATCTGAAAAGGCTATTAAAATACTCATCCTTTCCTAACTATGTATGTGTGCAGATGAATTTGTTTGGATACTTTAACCAAAAAGCCTAGTAATGGATTAGATGTAGAAGCAGATATAAAAATCCAGCTGCCTTTTATTCAGCGAGACATTAAAAAGACTGGCCAAAATGTAAAAACTCTTGTCACTAACTTCTAAAAGTATATCATCATTTTTCCAAAAAACTTCAATGTTAATACACTTATTTTTGATATACACACCATTTGGCTGTTATGCTAACTCCACTGTAAGTACAGTTACATCTCCACTCAATACCTGCCTGTTCACAGACACCCCCAAATAATACTGTTCAGGCCTGGCTCTAGTCCTCTCTAACTAACCTGTACTGTTGTTAGCCAAACAGCCAGCTTCAGCCAGGTGACTGGGAAAGCAGGTAACTCATGCTGAAGGAGGGATTTCAATTCCAACTCACTAATGCATGCAGTTTGATTTTATCTTAAACATACATACTTGTATAAAGTATAAGTGAGTTGTCCTTAAGAAAAACCAATGACTAGGGATGACACTATGAGAACAGGAGATAAGCAATGCTACTGTACTTACGTGTTTAACAAAAAGGGATCCTAGTTTTTCTGGATCTTCAAGGCACTTCTCTAATTCTCCTAAAAAAAAGCTGAAGAGAAAGGATAAAATATTAAAAGAATTTCCAAGATGGCCTTCTTAAGATTTAGGTTTGCTTTTTTTTTTTTTTTTTTTTTTGAGAGAGAGAGAGTATTGCTCTATCACCCAGGCTGGAGTGCAGTGGCATGATCTTGGTTCATTGCAACCTTCGTCTCCTGGGTTCAAGCTATTCTCCTGCCTCAGCCTCTCAAGTAGCTGGGACTATAGATGGGTACCAACATGCCTGGCTAACTTTTGTATTTTATAGTAGAGACAGAGTTTCACCATGTTGGCTAGGATAGTCTCAAACTCCCTACCTCAAGTAATCCACCCACCTCCGCCTCCCAAAGTACTGGGCTTACAGACATGAGCCACCCTGCCTGGCCAGGTTTACATTTTCAATAATCTGTTCTGACATGAGCAACTGGGAAATTTGAAGTATGTACTTAACAAATATACGGAAACTTAACAAGTATATGGAAAACCTTCTGTTAAGGTTTAAACATAAAGGAATACGAAGTCACAGAAGATGAGGAATAACTGTGCATCCCTTGACTGGTGACCTTCCTGGTCTTTGGAAAACGAACATTTTCATCTCTGTTCAAGGACACGAGTGCTAATGTCCTAGGCTGAACAAAGAGTGAAAAATAGATGTTTCAAAGCCCTTGGATATTTTATTTCTAAAAACTTGGTTTTTATATCTGAGAATTACATATTCATTCTAAGATAATTTTGACAGACTCAAATTGGACAGCAGATTAAAAAATTAAACATAAACCTGGCACAGGTAACATAAAATTTTCTCAGATGTTATCAAAATCAACTTCTGGGTTATAAATATTAGCTCCCTTTAAGATTAAAAATTGGGTATCATCACAGTGACAAAACAGCTGTAGGACAACAATGCTCATTTTTTTCTGGGCTGTAGTTGTCTTTAAAATATACATCCACTTTAGTTATCAATTATCACAAATTAGATAAGTTTTTATTTATATTAATATTTGGTATTACATTAACCTGCAAACCACCATGCCAATTAATATTGTACTGAGGAATTTACTATCCCTGCTGCAGCAGACAGCATCTCTGGATGCAGTTTCTCCATCTGGTCATCTCAGAAACACTGTGTCGCTTTCATCTTCCCTTTGCAGCCTTAAAAACCAGTCTTTGGGCTGGGCACAGTGGCTCACGCCTATAATTCCAGCATTTTGGGAGGCTGAGGTGGGTGGATCATGAGGTGAGGAGATAGAGACCAACTTGGCTAACACGGTGAAACTCCATCTCTACTAAAAACACAAAAAATTAGCCAGGCATGATGGCACACACCTGTAGTCCCAGCTGCTTGAGAGGCTAAGGCAGGAGAATCGCTTGAACCAAGGAGGCAGAAGTTGCAGTGAGCCGAGATTGTGCCACTGCACTCCAGCCTGGGTGACAGAGCAAAATACTGTCTCAAAACAAAAAGAAAAACAAAAAAACCAGTCTTGGAAGTAGGAGACTAAATCACAATACAAAATATCCCTTTATGAATTGGTTTCACTATAGACGTTTGGTAAGTCTACAGTACAGAGCTATAAACTGGAGTGCTGTCTAACATTTACCACTCATTTAGCTATAAATCCAAATAAACTGGACATTACAGAGGATATGAAAATAAAGACCTCTGACCTGGGTTCAAAGGTTTTACGTTCTATTAGGAGAGAGACATACAGAAATAACAACACTACTTGATATATGCCACCAGAGTTCCTCCTTATATCTGTCCAGTATTTCATCGTTTACAATAGCATATTCCCATCTGCTGTCTAAAGAAGAGAAGGAATCTGACTAGGAACTCCCAGGCCTAATGGAGAAGCAAGTATTGGAGCTCAGCTTCAGAGAGAGGGCAGAGCTTTGGAGGTGATGACACCATGCTCCACCCTGCACAGAGGGAGCAGCAGTGTACATCAGGACAGGAGAGCAGGGGGGCCTGGCCAGGTAAACACAGCAGATAGTGCACCTGGAACATTCCACTGGAAAACCAGTGGCCACCATTAAGCAATCCTCAGATGATTAAGAATTTTTAAAGTTACAAGCAAAGTGATCTAAAAGGGACAGGTATGTTGATAAGCTCTGGTGGGCAAGGTGAGCTGTGCAGCACTAGCCCCCAGATCAATCACCTCCTGATTAGGATAGGCGTGGGGGAATGTATTGGGATCAGATTAGAATTTCATGGGCAATCATGTCTACTTTTTCCATTTAAATTGAACCACGCATGGTGGCTCATGCCTGTAATCTCAGCATTTTGGGAGGCTGAGGTGGTTGGATTGCTTGAGTCCAGGAGTTCGAGACCAGCTTAGGCAACACAGCAAGACCATGTCTCTAAGAAAAACAAAAAAAAGTTAGCTGAGCATGGTGCTGTGTGCCTGTAGCCCCAGCTATTAGAGATGCTGAGAGATGCTGACGTGGGAGGATCACTTGAGTTCAGGAGTTCAAGGCTACTGTGAGCTATGATCGCACTATTGCATTCCAGTTTGGTGACAGAGCAAGACCCTGTCTCTAAAAAATAAAAATAGGCCATGTGCGGTGGCTCACAGCTGCAATCCCAGCACTTTGGGAGGCCAAGGCAGGTGGATTACCTGAGGTCAGGAGTTTGAGACCAGCCTGGTCAACATGGTGAAGCCCTGTCTCTACTAAAAATACAAAAATTAGCCGGGCATGGTGGCACATGCCTGTAATCCCAGCTACTTGGGAGGCTGAGGCAGGAGAACTGCTTGAGTCCAAGAGGAGGAGGCTGCCGTGAGCCAAGATGGTGCCACTGCACTCCAGCCTGGCCAACAGAGCGACACTCTGTCTCTAAATAAATAAATAAATAAATAAATAATTGGACAGATGAATATCTTCAAGGCCCCCTCATAATTTGTATTTACTCTAAAATGGCTGCAATTCTAGTTAGAAATACTTATTGAGGCTTATTCTATATAGATGTTGTTCTAAGTGCTTTGTAAAACTATTAACTTGGCCAGACACAGTGGCTCAAGCCTATAAGCCCAGCACTTTGGGAGGCTGAGGTGGGTGGATCACGAGGTTAAGAAATTAAGACCGGCCGGGCGCGGTGGCTCAAGCCTGTAATCCCAGCACTTTCGGAGGCCGAGGCGGGTGGATCACGAGGTCGAGAGATCGAGACCAACCTGGTCAACATGGTGAAACCCCGTCTCTACTAAAATACAAAAAATTAGCTGGGCATGGTGGCGCGTGCCTGTAATCCCAGTTACTCAGGAGGCTGAGGCAGGAGAATTGCCTGAACCCAGGAGGCAGAGGTTGCGGTGAGCCGAGATCGTGCCATTGCACTCCAGCCTGGGTAACAAGAGCGAAACTCCGTCTCAAAAAAAAAAAAAAAAAGAAAAAAAAGAAATTAAGACCATCCTGGCCAACATGGTGAAACCCTGTCTCTACTAAAAAATACAAAAGTTAGCTGGGCATGGTGGTGCGCACCTGTACTCCCAGCTACTCAGGAGGCTGAGGCAGGAGAACTGCTTGAACCCGGGAGCCAGCGGTTGCAGTGAGCCGAGATTGCGCCACTGCACTCCAGCCTGGCGCCTGGTGATAGAGTGAGACTCTGTCTCAAAACAAAACTATTAACTTAGTCACTCTTTACAGAAACCCATGACGTGGGCAACATTATGATGTGGGTGTGCTATGCAGATGAAGAAAGAAAGTGTAGAGCAGGGAGGCCGAGGGCTCAGGGTCAGGACCAGGCCAGGAGCCCTGGCAGCCAGCCCCATGCTGGTGCTTCCAGCTACTTCCCTCCACAGATTCTCGACATGCACCAGCATGAAGAAGAGATGAGACTCTCTCTGTGCCACCAAATGCTACTGCAGAACTCCTGGGTCCATCAATATCTCCTCAGGAGGGCACACAGGTAATACAATGAACAGAATAAATTCCCTTCGGCCTGGCCTGCCTTGGTTTGCCGAGTGTGGGTGCTGTGCGCACCATCGAGCACAATGCAGTGTACGTACTCTCTGTGCCAGTCGTAAATCTGATGGATGTTGCCAAACACAATTTTGTCTTTTCCTTTCATGTCGTCAGGAACACCATCTTCTTTCATAAGTGCCATGTAGCCCTACAATTAAACAGTTACCGTAAGTGTATTTCATGGAATATGTCTGAATCAAGTAGTGGCTTATTGATTAACAGTCACAGAGGGCAAAATGGACACTTGCACTATCTTTAACCAGTTCTTTATCTAAAAACAAAAAACTGGGTATGAAAAGTATCCTTAACTGACACTTGGAATATACCCATTACATTCATTGTTGTAATGTTCTTTCCCTGGACTGTTTAGCATTCACAGATCAAAATTACTCTAAGGAATTAAAGAAGTTTAAATAAATACAAATGGTTTCATTGAAACAGTTTGTACATACTAAATATTTGGTCAGAATCATATCTCCTGCTTTCAGCATTTATCTCACAGAAACAGATTTTCTTTTCTTTTTGGATTATTTGTGTCATCTGTTAAATAAGGGTTTAACAATACTCTTTTTATAAATTGATTTCTAAACAACAGTTGATTGAATATGCTGCTAAAATGTGGCTTAAAACTTCTATTTAATTCAGTCTGTACAAGAATCTCCTGAGTACCCAGGTTGCTTATCTCATTGTTAACAATGACTGCAGGCAAATCAAGCATGTTAAATCTTTTTTTGTTACCCAATTAACTGTAATAGCTGGTACTTTTAATGGGATGTGTAACCAAAGAGTATTGTCCTGTACAAATTTGCAAAGGTGAAAGAATACACAATAAAATTTTATACTACAAAAATAGCTTTTTGATGAGTTGAGTTTCCTAATCTGACTAATCCCCAAATTGACTGGCAGGGATTAGCCTAGAGATGGCTCTCGATCCAGTACAAAAGGCAGCGGTTTGCTGTGGCTACCGTGCTTGGCAACTTCTGGTCAATGGAAATGGCAAAGTATTCTGAACAAAACCATCAGTGAATGACCTGGTGCAGCCACAGTCTAAGCTCTGAACCTGGGTGGATTCAGGATGCAACTGAACCCACAGCTGGGCCACGCGCTGACTTTTCCACCAATAAGGTCTTCATTTCTATAGTGATACCCACTCTTGTGAAATAATTAAGGCAAGATTCCTAATAATTAAGGCAAGATTTAATAATAATAAATTATTTATAATTGTAAATTTTAATTGTTAAAAAATATCACGTTGATACACTAAGCAAAAAAGAAGTATTTACAACTGAATACAGATAAAGATAATTGGCTAAATTTAATTTTTCAGAAATACTTTGTTGGTCACTTTTTATTTTGGGTCAAAAATGTTTTTAAAGCTTTAAAAGGTGTTCAACTGTCTAACACAATACTGCTTTGGACAACTGTTGGAGCTGATACAATGTTATTAAATTTCTGAAAGCACACACCTCAACCACATAGCCAAGGTCCCGTACATAGTCACGCTCTGTCTCCACTAATTCTTGCAGAACGTAGCTGGAGAGAGAAAAATAGTGTTTATAATGCAAACTCTGTTTCCTAAATCAGTTTTTTGATACCTTTGCTCCTGGTCAGGATGGACTCCTTCTGGGACTGAATAGTAATGTATCAAATTTGTACAACTGGTCTTAAATTCTGGAGGGTCCCAGATCACTTACAGTTTCAAGTGGGTGACCCATGAGAGCTCTGGAGGTCAAAAGACACTTAGGTACATGTGCATCAGGGCAATCAGGGCAAATTCACCCTTCTGGATTCTGATCACATACAGGGACAACAAAGAAGCTTAGACATAACTTTATGGCAAAGCCATGACAGTAAAGGAAGTGGCTTTTAGAAAAATGATTAAGTCATTTTAACCCTCACTGGATATACAAGAAAAACTTTGCACTTAGATGTTTAAAGCCTTGGATCTAATCACATCACTCAGAAGTATTTCTGTATGTCTGTAACATTCAGTAACCATTTAAGGCCACTCAGATAACAGAAAACAATCATTTAATCAGTACAGCAAACAACTTCAATTAGCCTGCGAAGGTTCACTCATGTGCTGTTCAGTCATTCATTCAACCAACATCAACCTGGCACCTCTCATGTGCCCAACACCATCAGAGGTGCTGGGATACAGCCCTGAATAAAACACCTGGTCTCTGCCATTTTGTAGCTTATGTTTTTTTTTTTTTTTCCTCTTGAAAGCCAACTTTAAATCTTTTGTAACATGTTTCAGGACTCTTTTTACCATATGCTGCTTTACTGGAATTGAGAAACATTACCAGCAAAGTATGTTTAAAAAAATATTCAAGTTTTTGGGACTGATTCTAATTTTACATTACTTTCTTTTTCTTTCACAATCACATGTACAATAAAAAGTGTAGGAGTCTCTCACCAGACGTGACAGAAGACATTTTTGTCTTGCATCATTCTTACTTATGAAGTATAATATACAAATAAAACAAGAAACTGTGGCTATGGCTTACTGTGCCCTTATTAGGTCCTGAGTCTGTTACATATGTACAATTACTCAATGAGAGGCCCTCAAGCTCCTCATCTTGGTAATTCAGAGCTGAATCTCAGTCACATTTTTGAAGGCAACAAAGACAGGAGGGAACCCGGAAAACTTTAAGAATGAAAACATTTCTGTCTTACTGTCTTCTCTTTAAAGAGCTGGATTTCCTTTCTTCCATCTCATCAATGGGTGAGGAGGAAGAGAGAAGGGAATTATCCGAAGGGTTGAAGGATGGGCTGCTACTATCTCCCTGGTCAACAAGGAGTGAGCTAGGACGATCCTCCAGTGCCTAGAAGAAATTGAGATAATCAACAACACTTACTGCCTACAGCCCATGACTGGCTGAAACTAAGATAAGAAAATATCCAAAGTCAGAAACACAGAAAATGTGTTTGTGAAATTATAGTACTTAACAACACAAAACCCAACTATTATTAAAAAGTAGTCAAAGGAAGTGGATAGAAGAGGAAAGGTGAAATGAAAAGGACAGTGAGTTTATACACATTAACATGTTCTATTTCCTGTTACCAAATAAGAAGAAATGTTATACTTGCTTCCGTCAGAGTGCTGTACCCATTTCTGGATATATCACACATATTTAATATCTAGACATTTTTTACTGGTTATATTCCTGCCAAATGAGCCACTGGGATGCGTGTGCATCAGGCCAGCACTGCACCTGGACATGGTGCCCGTGTTCCTTGTTGGTGGACTATATAGCAGCGTCAGCAATCTACAGTTTAAACAAACTTGGTTTGTTTCTTGATTATCCACGAAGCTTTGACTCATACTTCAATGCACACAGATCACCCAGGTAAAATAATCTCCATCTAGCAACTTGCATTCTATCCCTATATACGAAATAGCAATCATGCTGGTCTTAATTACTTCTGCAATACATTCATTCCCCCACTGTCTTTTGGTTTCCATAGATGATTGTTTTTCTTGCTGTACCCCTGCTAGGACCTCACGTAAATCTTTGCAAGTGTTCAGCAAATCTGTAAGATGAATATTGGTGACCTCTCTCCTTGGATTAATGTGACAATGACTGGTGACTGATCGCTTTTTAATTGGTACATACCAATCTTGTTATCTTGTTGCTTTACCTGAATTCACAAAACACCTAAGATTTACAGTTCTTCTAACATTGCCAAAGCACCGAACCGGATATACAGATGTTGTACTGGTGCAAGCACAGAAAGTCAACACCAAGACAAAAGTATGCCAAATTGCAGGGTCTCTCGTCTCTCCAACCTGTGGCCCCAAAAGGAGGGTGTCAAGACCTTTTATACCCATAAACCACCTCGGGGGTGAGGGTGAGGGGCAGGGGAGGGGGTGAGGGGCTTCAGACATTTCGAGGGCCAGTGGATTCTGTAAATCACCTCCTGGGCAGAGATGAGGGTGAGTGGCTCCAGACATTCCGAGGGCCATGGGACTTTGGACATTCCGATTGTTACTTAAGTGGTTCACAGAAGTCAAGATAAGCGTTAGTTCACACATTGTCTGGGTAGGATGGAAATTACAGACCTTAAGTACTTATTACAAGTCGCAGGGGCCAAGATGGCGTGGGTTTGGACTGTTTGCCTGTCACATCACGGTTACAGAGAGCAGTTTCAACAGAAAGCCGAGGTATGGTTGAGGGATGCAGTTTTACGGGGCTTTTACCATGTCACATAGATATGACTGAACAGGGGAAAAATGTAATTAATTCATCCTTGAACAGCATAATACAAAATGTAAAAAATACCATCGATATTAATAAACTAAAATGTCTAATGCTTGTTCTATTTTTTTCTCTTAACGGTAACAGACTGAGTCTGATTTCATCGTTAAGCAGAGTTCTGAGGACACAGAGTCTGTACTGTACATGCAATCTTGTTGAAACCCATGGAGCTATAAAAAACACACCAACTGCTGATCTTATTTTTGAAAAACAGGACATTATGTTAGTCAAGTAACAGAGTTTGATCTGAAAAATAAGTGCACTCTTTTAAATAAATAGCTATTGAGCTTGACCAGAAGAACGTTTCGCTGGGGGTAGCAGAGCTTGTTTCACGCTCATCAGATCACGTCTGTTTTTGAGAGTGAGGAGAGGATGTTCTGCCCCCATCCCCCACCTGGACAGCTGAAGCTTGTTAGAATTAAATTCTGCTCATTTGAACAGTGAGAAAAAAAGAAAGAAAAGAAAGAGAAAGGCTCCAGATGCCCCTGATGCTGGAGAGGGCACAGAGGTAAAGTCATGGACTTCATCAGTGTCCATGGGGACCTGTAACAGGTGGGGCAGCTTTCTGGACATGTAACAAAGAAGTCTCCAGGCCCCTTGGCTGCCTGTCCTCAGATCTGATCTATTCTGACCAAGTCGGGCTGCTGAGAAGGTACACACACCCTGAAGATGTGTAGTCATGGTCAGACATCCTTGGCACCTTCACGGGGCCCATCTGTCTCTTCCACAAATATGAGTGAGAAGGCTGTCACCAGCACAAGGCTGTCTCAAAACTGCCACCACTGGGACTTCACAGATTTTGGATAAATTATTTGTGAAACTCTCTGGGTTTGGTTGTTTCCTTGTCAACTTCCTCCCTATCTTATATGAATATAGTTCTACACAGATATTCTATCTCTTATGAGATTTTAATTAATTTATTTATTTATTGAGATGGAGTCACCTATGCTGGAGTGAAGTGACTTGATCTCGTCTCATTGCAACTTCTACCTCCCGAGTTCAAGCAATTCTCCTGCCTCAGCCTCCTGAGTAGCTGGGATTACAGGTATGCGCCATCACACCTGGCTAATTTTTGTGTTTTTAGTAGAGACGAAGTTTTACCATCTTGGCCAGGCTGGTCTTGAAGTCCTGACCTTGTGATCTATCCGCCTCAGCCTCCAAAAGTGCTAGGATTACAGGTGTGATCCATCATACATGGCCTAATTTTGATAAATTATATTTTCTTAGAAAACTGCCCATGTCATTCGTTTTATTTTAAATTTACTATAAAAGAGTTGAAAATAATATCTTATGATTGTTTGAATTTCCTGTTTTTTCCCTCTCTCATAATTTCTTAATTTTGGGAATTTGTGTTTTCTATTTTCTAGACATGTTACCTAATGTTTATATTTAAAAAACAAATTTTTGGTTTTATTATGCTACTGTTTTCCAGCTCATTAATTTCTGCTTCTAACTCTATAAATTCATTCCTTCCGCTTTTCTTTGGTTTGTTGTTTTTCTAACATCTTAAGTTAGATGTTATTTTATTTATTTTCTTTCTTTGTTGTATCTCCCTTTATATCTTGATTACCGAAGAGAAGACAATCCCAAAGTCAAGTTCACACAGTCGCTGTGGCAGTGGGGTACTATTGCCAAAGTGCAGGAAAAATGCACAAGCTTTAAAATAACCAGCTGGATGAAGAATGTGGAGGTAAGCTGGACAAGTGAATCCCAATTAACAGTTTTCAGGGCGGTTTTTATTTTTCAAGCCAAATCCTCAGGTTTTAGGTTTAGGTAGGTTCAGTTCCTTAAACATCATACTGTGTAACAGGTGGAATGCCTTGTCTCCTCTCCTCTCTAACCCAATAAACACATACACAGCTTCTGATGTATAAACATTTCAGTGATTCAGTGTTCAAATCCAATTATGAAGGTGCAACAGCCTCAGACATCACTCACAAGAAAACTCATGTGGATGCCTAAGGAACTACTGCAGAGTCAGGAAGCAGCAGAGGTTGAGGATATTACAATGATGCACTAGAGTTTTCTCTGACAAAAAGTAGTTGCCATTTGACATTAGAGCATTAGGAAACCAATGCAGGGTGATGCTTCTCTTGAACCAGAAAAAGAGGGGAGAATCTAGATTGCATTCCCTGGCCTGAAGAAGAACGGATGAATCTAACACCAAGTACAAACATGGCCCTCCCAAGGGAGGGGAAGGCATCACTGAATGCCCATGTGGAAGGAACCTGGTTAGGAGCTCCCACGTGTAGCTGAAAGACACAGTTTCTCAGGCTAAAGCACTTGCCTGGTGGAACTCACCATAAGGAGACTGTGAATCCAAGTCTATCTGACTTCAAAATCTATGCCTTTCCTATGCCAGCAGCTTATGACCACTGAAGCGAGCAGAAATAACTCAGTTTCACTGAGTAAACTGACAAAGTTTAATTCCTCAGTATTGAAAAAGGAGATTAAGCCAGTTAAGAATCACAGCTGACCACAGCACAGATCACCTCTCCATTTGGAAGTCCACGTGAATTAATTACAAATAAATAACAGACCACATAAAATGCAATACAATTTAAACACTTGCACAATAGTGGCCAGATCTGCCTCACAGCATTCCCTGGGAAACCATGTCAACTATTTGGTAAGAATGCTTTTAATGGTCATTTAATTGATGTAGATAAATGGCTTTAAGAAAAATGTTTAAGGGTGCTTAAAAACTCACTGGATACAATTTAAGTACCTCACCAACTTGTCTTTTAACGAGATAACAAATAGGTAGCTGAACTCAGTTCATATTGGCACGGTTCCAAACTCCTTTTCTTTCCTTGGTTTTTGTTTTTTGAGATAGAATCTCACTCTGTCATTCAGGCTGGAGAGCAGTGGCACAATCTCAGCTCACTGCAGCCTTGACCTGCTGGGCTCAGGTGATCCTCCCACCTCAGCCTCCCAAGGAGCTGGGATTACAGGTGCATGCAACCACACCCAGCTGATTTTTGTATTTTTTGTAGAGATGCGGTCTTGATGTGTTGCCCAGGCTGGTCTTGAACTCCTGTGCTCAAGCAATCTACCTGCTTTGGCCTCCCAAAGGGCTAGGATTACAGGCATGAACCACTACACCTGGTCTGATTCTAAAATCTTAACCAGTGAAGTCCAAATTTGTGAGTTATATATCATGTCCTAGCAAGCTTCCTATCTAATTTCAAAGTTCTCTGGGTCTTTTCTGAAACACTATGTGATTACCTGGGGAGAAATTTCTAGCTATGGCAGGGTGACACGTCAGTACAAATTTTTCTTTACATAATTCCCATTTGACTCAGTCAACCAGTTTCATTAGAGGTTGTCTGTGGATGAAAGAAGAAATGGGAATGATACATTGGGTACCTAGTTAATACTCATATGAAGGAAGAGAATTTCTTAACTTCAAAGAAGTATACTCTGATTTAGCTATTCCAGTGTTGAAAATTCACCCTACAAATATAATCACAAACATGTAATGGATGTTTAGAGAAATATTAGAATATTTCTCTATAATAAACATTATATTAAATTATAATTTATATATTAAAATATTGACATAAATTATAATTTATATATTAAAATATTGACATAAATTATAATTTACATTAAAATATTTAAATAATTAAATAAATTATAGCATAATCATGTTTCTGATGCTTAGTGGCTAGTCAAGTTTTTAAATGTTCTGTGTGCCTCAATTTCCTTGTTTGTCAAATGGGATAATAACAGTGCATAACAACACACAGGGTTGTTGTGGGAAGTATATAAATGAATACATGCTCGGCACTTAGAATAGCGCCTGGCTTAGAGTAAGTTCTCAGTGGTATTAGTAGCATAGAATCCATTTAATGAAAAACTATACAGTTATCAAATAAAAGAAAGAGGTAATCTGTGTGTACTGATCTGAGAAGATCCTCAAGATATGTTATTAGAATCTTAAAAATTGAATTAATCCATTTGGAAAGAAAAAGTACGCATATAGATATGTTTGCACCAGCAAGGAAAACATCTGGAGTAAAATGTATGTTCGCAGTGGTTACCTCTGGAGAATGGACTGCTGAGAGAGACTGAGGGCTTTTTACTTTGGGAGGAGTTGCTTTTAAAAGACATTGTCTTTCTAGGGATAGCAGGATATATACCAGTCTAAAAAGTTGTTACCATTGGTGGTTTTTCCATTTCTGAGTTAGGAAAACTAAAAAAACAGAAATTAACTGATTTGAATCAGTTAGAGGCAACACATCCCTGTCTTACTTCAAAGAATAAACATTTAATTTGGGGCTTTTATCAAATGAACCATGTTGACCAACTGGCAACAAAGAGACCACTAAGAAAATAAAGCCCTTATGTAAGAATGCAAACCCTTCTCTCTTACACATTCTAAACCCAAATGAAAGCTCTCACGTGTCGCACAACAAAACTAAGAGTCTAACTGTGACCCTGGCACATCTTTAGACAGACTGGCGTTGACCACATTGGCAGTGACTGCAGTCAGGGTGTGTACATTGAGGTTTGCCTCCAGCTTCTAGAAGGTAATTTATAAGCACCTGGAACGTTCTGCTTAATGAGAATGTCTGTTTACCTGGGGGCCTGGGACGAAGGCAAACAGTCTATGCTAGCAATGTGACAGTGTCTTGCTCTCTGGAGGAGCAGGAGACTACTAAGGTCAGCCACACAGAGTAGACAGCCATATGTGTCTGAGCCCAAAAAGACACTCAACACCAAGCCTCATGTGAGGCATCTGTCTGCGGACTCCACTGGGAGAGGACGGCTGGCAGTTTGAACCTCGCACTCCCCAAGACCTGCTCTATGCAGCTCTTCCCTTGCCTATTTTGATCTGTGTCCTTTCATGGTGATGTACTGCAAATGTGGGAATAACAGCCTTTCTGAGTTCTCTGAGTCCTTCAAATTAGTGAACCCGAGGTGGTCATGGGGACTCCCAAACGTGCTCTTCAGAAGTGAGGGTGATCTTGTGGACTCCTGAGACGTGCGATAAGCCAGAGCCACCTTCTGCAGCCCAGAGCAATACATGGAGAAGGGCAAATCCATCCGCAAGTAGCAACACAGAGCAGTTTCCAAATGTCAGACTTTCTCTGGGAGGCCTTACCATCTTGCTTTTCACAAGTTCCTCAATTGCACTGACGAGTTCAGCTGCACTTGGTGTTTCGGAGCTGGTGGGGCGGACTAATAACCGAGAAGAGGCCTACGGAAGAAATTAAGAAAAGGGGCAGGGGAGGTCTCACATTAGTAACGGGCCAGACAGTAAATTCCCCTGCAAGCTTCATCTCTTTTAAAGTAATTCCAGACAGAAAGACCACAAGTTTGTCTTTGTTTGCATTTATTTTATGTCATCCTTTTGAATTTACAATATTCTGACAAGAAACATTTAATAAAACCTGTCTGAGATACATGTGGACAGCAGACAGTGTCTGATTTGAATCGTAGTCATGTAACATCGAAGTGTTTTTTTTTTTTTTGTTTCTAAGAGGTGACTGGGCAGGGGAACATTCTAACTGTAACTTTCACAACTGCTGGTAAGGCTCTAGGCTAGGGAGAAGGAACAGAGAATCTGACCTACGGCAAAATGAGAGGCTTAGGTCTAGAGAGATAATCCGGGAATAAGCAGGAAACAAAACTGGATACTAAAAATGGCTTTACTGTGTTTATGGGATTAAAAAATAAAGAAACGAGGAAGAGGAAAGGAGCAGGGTGCGGTGACCAGACAGGGAAGGAGGGGGACGAGCTCACCATTTTCTGTGCCATCCATTTCCCCATGATTAGTGCAGAGTACAGAAGAGTTGAGGCCTCACAAGCTATCAGATGCCACTTATGGCTAGAGAATCGAGGGCATAAAGGGGTTGACAGGAAATCTGGGGGAGGGGCTACTAAGTTCGAGTTTCAGTAATTGGCAAACATGATCTGTTTGCAGATTACTTGAGCCATTAATTAATTGGAAACTAGAAGGGGCATAATATGAACCTTGCTTCATATTAAGGACAGCAGCGCGGCATGCGACCCACAGAGGGCTCTCCTGGCCATGCGTGTCTCACAGCAGACAGACACAGGCTCATACACTTACAACAAGGCTTTTACACGTGTGGGTCAAAATATGCACTTTGCAAAACAAACGTTGGTTTGGTCTAATGACATTTGGAATATGGGGTGAAGAAAACAAAGAAAAAAATTCAAACTGAAAGGTAAGGAAATTGAGCCATAACAGACACAGAACACAAATCAACATAATGCTGCAGTGAAAGTTTACAAAAAGAGAAAACAGAACAAAACAAAAAATTAGTCACGAGATTATATACCGTGTGGGAACATCACTACAGATTTTTACAAATCAAGAACTGCTACTGATAATAGTCAATGAGTTAACATAGTAACCATAAATGATTCCAGCAAACAGAAGAATACAGTGCAGATCACTCTTTAAAGAGAGAAATATCTTCCCTTATTTGGTGAGTAAGTCAACAAGGACCAGCCCCTCAATGTTTGGATAACCACACAGATTTAAGAAATGCCAGTTTTCTGTTTTTCAAAAAGGTACGGCTTAGCGTATTATAAGACAGCGCAGGAAATGCCACAGAAACCACGAAGCCCCATGTCATGGCCAGTTACCATGTCCATGCACTTAGGTGGGGTGGGGGGCCGTGGTCCTCTCTCACCTTAGGCTCCCCATTCCTTCTCCCCCACACACAGTGGGACCTGAACCTCAGATGCACACAAAACTCCAGGACTGAAACTTGTGCTGAGTGCTGCAGCTCACAGCCATTGGTGCAGGCCCCACAGCACCCTTACAGTGTGTGGACCTCGTGTTAAAAAGGGAGGAGGGAGGCTGAGGTGGGTGGATTACAAGGTCAGGAGATCCAGACCATGCTGGCCAGCATAGTGAAACACCATCTCTACTAAAAATTTAAAAAATTAGCTGGGCATGGTAACGCATGCCTGTAATCCCAGCAACTCGGGAAGCTGAGGCAGGGGAATCACTTAAATCCAGGAGGCGGAGGTTGCAGTGAGCCCAGATGGCACCACTGCACTCCAGCCTGGGCAACAGGGTGAGACTCCATCTCAAAAAAAAAAGTGGGGGAGGAGGGAGTAGCTTTCCACCAACAAGGGGCGGTGGACACGTCTGCCTTGGGTTAAGAGGAGTGCATAATTTGACTTGGCCTCACAGCCGCCAAGCACTGGCTGTGGCCAATACCAGGTCGTAAAATAGAGGGTGATTAATCTAGCAAGTGACTGTATAAGTACTAACAAGGGAGTTAGGAAAGGAAAAAGGAAAGCATGGGGAAAATGTTGATAACATTATCTGTTTTACTCAGAAACCTTAGTTACTGCCAAAAAAAAAAAAAAAAAAAAAAGGCATCACCAGTAATGACTTCATAGCATGATTTTCAACACCTCACAATTCTGAGGGCCACAGCAGGGCCAGAACGCTGGAGGATGTGCAAGCCCCATTGAGCAGGTTTCCTTTCTGCTATTTTATTTTTTAGGGTTCTACAATTGGGCTGACAAAATACTTTTAGATTATGTGAGAACTCAAGAAAACAAATGACTTTCTTGGCTTGAAGCCACCACGCAGAATCAGAGTTTTCAACTGATTCTTACACTTTGACAACTGTGCCTGCATTCCAGTGCCCTACAAACTCACCTCTGGCATGTTGGAAAAAGCATTGGACAGTGATGTAACCTCATCTTAAACCAGAAACCTGCATGCAAAAACCTCACAGAGAGGAATGGCCAACTCTTCATTGAGTGATGCCTTCAGGCAGACCTGTGTGGGATATCTCTGATTGTTGTCTCAGGGAGTCTAGTCAATACATTAGGAAACTTCAAAATTACTTTAAAAGCAGCAATTACTGAAGCATCATTAAAAATGCACTGAGCCACGAACGTAGGAGAAACTGCACCCGCTGGCCTGCTACTATTATAAATAATTTTTTACTCATACTTTTGGGGTACAACCAGGCTGACACTGCCTGGAAAAACACAACATTGCCCTTTTCCACACCCTGGAGCCTCCTGTCTCCTGAAACAAGGTTGGTGTGGAGCAGTTACTGAGAGTGCCCTGTTCTGGCACGGCAGGCATGGATCCGCCAGCCCTTGTCCCCCTTTACCTTGTCATCCTGTGGGTCCGGCTGGAGGAGGCTGTGCTGCTGGATGGCCATGGGTGGCGGTAGGGGCACGGCATCGGCCCCCTCCTCGCCTTCCTCTTCTCCACAGCTCTGCATCCCCGAGGAGGAGGATTTGGAGAGGGTCCCGCTGCTCAGGCCCTCGTTCCGGCCTCTCTGAAATCCAATTGAGATTTGCTCATTATATTCCAAGCCTATTCACAAACATGAAGTCCAAGGGTTACTTGGAAAAGCAAAGTGGGGACAGAGACTGGGATGGCAGAAATTGGGAGCAAAGCTCTTCTTGACCTTGATGGCAACTTTTCCTTCTCTTCCTACAGCCCAACGGCCTTGCTTGTCAACTTGGATGACAGAAGGGCCACTGAATGCATCGTATAAACAGATCACATTCACTGCCAATGTGATCTGTTAGGCTCTGAACACATCTCATCTTTGAGAAATCAATTTTTGAAAAGTTTAAAAAATTTGAGCTACAACCTTCATGAAAATTTAGTTCCTTTGGTATAGCTAATTTCATTTTGGGTATCTTGCTATAGAAAAATTCACTGAAATAGAGGCTGGGTGCAGTGGCTCATGCCTGTAATCCCAGAACTTTGGGAGGCCGAGGTGGGTGGATCACAAGGTCAAGAGATCGAAACCATCCTGGTCAACATGGTGAAACCCCGTCTCTACTAAAAATACAAAAAATTAGCTGGGCATGTTGTAGTCCCAGCTACTTGGGAGGCTGAGGCAGGAGAATTGCCTGAACCCAGGAGGTGGAGGTTGCGGTGAGCCAAGATTGCGCCATTGTGCTCCAGCCTGGGTAACAAGAGCAAAACTCTTGTCTCAAAAAAAAAAAAAAAAAAAGAAAGAAAAGAAAAATTCACTGAAATAATAAGGGCATAAAAATACAATCCAGGATGCATTTTAAGCACTGTATCTAAGTATCCTTTTCCTCTATTCTCACTGTTAGAAAAAAATTTCAGTTTTAGTTTTCCTAAGAGAACAGAGGTTTATAAAGCAGATACATAGTACATATCAACCCCCACATTGCGACAAAATCTCCCGGCAAAAATAAACCCAGGAAAAATCCTGGCAGAAAACAGATACCTGCCAAATAAATGAAATAACACAAATTGGATCCCCAACTCTCTGCCTTTTCTTTTCCAAGCCTGTGTGGGACTTGAGCTGGGGCGGGGGGTGGGGTGGATCCAAGTTAAGAACTCAGAGGACCCCTCACTGACACCACCAGTGCTGGAAGGCCATTTCCAGCAGCATGAAGGAATTCTGTTTCTTGCAATATAAGTTAAAGCCCCCCTTGTCAATAGGCCATAAAAAAATCCCTGGCTGACCTACATGCACTTATCTTTGGTGACATGAGAAGAACCCCATGTTTACTACTGCGCCAACAAAGTAAATTAACTGGGTATTTCTACTCAAGACAAGCTCTAAATATAATAAATATTGGAGGAAAACAATAGGAAAATGTAAACATTCCACAAGTCCTTCCAAGTTTCCAATTTCTACAAAATGCTACTGCAGTGGTCAGCTCAGAGACTGCCCGAATCTTCTGCAGACTACACAGAGCCTCTGGCTTTGGCTCATGGTGGAGTGGGGAAGAAAGTGTCCCAAAGCCAGTCTGGGCTCCCTCCTGGCCCAGGCCTGGGGGCTAACTGGGCCTGGGGTGCATGGTGGTCCCATTTATTTTATTTTTTTATCAGAAGACACATGTGGTCCAGTTCAATTTTCTTTCCAGATGTCCCCGCTAAATCTGTCTGCTAAGCAGAGCCTTGAATCAGAATTTCTGAGTAAGTGTGGAAAACAGAACCAAACCAGTTGATTCATAAGATAAGCAACTATTCCTGCAGCAAAACCCAGCGGGCCCCATCAGGCAGCCCCCGGTCCAGCGGGCAGAGCCTCACCTCCTCCACCGTCTCGTCCTGCGGGGTGGCCGCGCTGTCGTCCGAGTCCTTCTGCGAACCGGCGTCGGCGCTCTTACGGACCTCGCGGCTCTTCTTGTGCTTGTGCGCCAGCTTCTTCACGTGTCCGTCGGCCTTGCCGCTGCTGAGCCGCCGCACCGGGCTGGTGAGCCACTTGCGCAGGGTGTTGCCTGGCCGCTTGGGGCCCGGCGAGCTCTGGGCCCCGATCATGTGGGGCTGGAGGGAAGCCACGGATGCAGGTGGACTGGCGTCATTACTGGAGACGGAGAGCGAGTCTGCCAGGGAGGAGAGGGAGCATCACTGACTTGTACAGACCCTCCCGGTGGGGAGACTGTGCCATTTGCCCTCAGGCTTTCGGTCCCCAGCTGCAGGGGCAGGGAAGCCAGTGGGCTGGGACGCCTCACCTGTGGGATTTGCTTATGGGGTGTGAGATGAGAGGAGCTGATGCTTTACATGCTTTCTTCTCAAATGTGTAGCAAACTTGAGTTCTGCTAGAAATGATCTTTCTCTAGATGCACTGTCCCCTCCAAAATCACCCACGTCCCCAGTCCTGAAGCCCAGCATCATTACCAGCCAGATTTAAGACGTTATTCACCACATAAAATACTGTGGACATTGGTACCACAGACATTGGAGGACCGAATTTTAAAATCATTTTCTTGACAAAAGCCAAGCAAGAAAGGAAATTTTGAGAAGCTTTAGCTATGCTGACATATTTACTGTAAACTAATCCTGTTGAAGAAGTGCATTAGTTTGATTCACCACCAGTGAACAAAAGCAGAATTCTGTAATTATTATGGATAAATTGACAGTGATTTGTCCAGGTGAGACTGACCAGCAGCAGCCTCTGGGACAGCCAGGGTCCAGGACAAGATCGGTGGCTGGAAAGCGGCAGAGCTGCTGGGGCTCTCGGAGGAGCAGCTCTTAGCCTCTTTCCTGTTCCCCGCCAGGCCACAGCAGCAGATGGGGACCTTGCTCACAGCCTTGACACACTTACCTCATGTGTCGAAGTAAACATCAGCAACAAGGAACAAAACCACCACCACATTTTACAAAGAAATTTGAGGAGGAGAAGCCTTCCTCAAATAATCAAAATGCTCTATAGAAGATATATCCAAATCAGCTTCTCATTGGATCTCAAAAATTAAATATACTCAACCTGGAGGGGTTGACATTTCAAGAGAAAAAAAATCCATTTCTTTTTTGTTTTTGTTTTTCAGACAGTTTTGCTCTGTCACCCAGGCTGGAGTACAGTGGCGCAATCTTGGCTCACTGCAACCTCTGCCTCCTGGGTTCAAGAGATTCTCTTGCCTCAGCCTCCCCTGAGTAACTGGGACTACAGGTGCCTGCCACCATGCCCAGCTAATTTTTGTATTAAAAAATCTGAAATCTGGGTGACAGCGGAACTCAGCAAATCCATGGACTTGTCTGATGTCTACTGTACTCAAAAACCAGCGAGGGAGAAGGCTGCTGGGCCCCTTCCCGAGCTCTTGGCTCAGGGCTCCACTATGGTGGCATGGAAGGAAGTGCTCTACTTTAGAAAGCAGAACAGCAGCGATGGTGATCATTCATGGTGCTTGCTATTTTCCCAAGTCTTTTGAAGTCTTAGTACATATACTGAAACTACTTGCCAGATACTCCTTTGCACAGACACCTGTAGGGGCTGCATTGCCTCTCTGGCTCTGGATAACCTTCCTGGCTGCAGGTGGGCCCCGTGATTACAGGGGCAGAGTAAGCAGCAGTTTCCCACCAAGTGCTCCCAACACTGGGACTAGACAGCACACGCCTGTCTCACTGCTGTCCCATTCCTTCCTTTGCCCAAGACACAGATTAGTGAAGGATATAATCTTCCAGAAGCAGATGATGAGCTTTAAGCAGGATCACGCATGCTAGATTTTTCTCAGAGGCAAACTATGGTTCAGAACCATCAATATCTGTTAAAGAATATCCCTTTCCCCTCTGTATATGTGCTTGCATTATGTTTGTGTACATATATGTATATATATTTTCTCATCTATTTATTCCATTTTTCAATAAGAGTTACTAAAACATTTTCGCATCAGTCTCACTTTCCTTTGGTACGGTCTGGAAGAGGGAGGAAGAAATGAAATCCATTCCCAGAGACTTTCTCAGATGCTGATGTTAAGATAAAATGCAAATGAGATACACAGTCCCTAGCCTCAGGAAGGACAAAGAGAAGGGGAGGGTTTAGATAATCTATATGTCAGATGACAATTATTCAAACAATATTTTTTAAAGCAACAATTCTTAACAGAACCCTGTACTGCCCACAGCAGGTGGCAGATTTCAGAGTCACTTGGTGTGCTGTGACTTAGAGCCAAGCCCTGGATTTCCCACTGGACAGAGATAAGGAATGCCTAGTTTCTTCACCCATGTGACTCGCCACACAGTGGTTTTTGAATGACAGAAACCTATCCTGTACTATAGGCAAGGAAGGTACAAACCCTGTTAGTGTTAGGGTTGAGAAGGGGAAATAGGAGGAACCATGGAAGGCTCCATAAAGGACGTGGCACTGAAGCTGGCCTTTGAGGGAGGTGGGCACAGGTAACCCAGACACTAGGTCAGGAGAATGAATCTAAGCTCCAGGAAGGCAGAGGCCTTGTCTGTCTGGGACCTGAGGTACTCCCAGGGCTCTGCACAGTGCCTGGCATACAGTAGGCAGAGAAGTATTACATAGAAACATCAGAAATCAACAGCCTAAAGAAACAGCAAGCTGACTCCCAGCTCATATTTTAAGGACAGTCATTTCTTGGACATAGATTCACAATTGCACAAGGCAAGGAACTAGGGGTGTAGCCTGTGGGGAGGTCAGGAGATACCCCAGATGCCTGAGATGCAGTGAGGTGTCACCAAGGAGCTCCGCTGTGCCTTGGATAAACTGATAAGAGACCAAACAGACACAACAAAACAACACAAAAAAGACCCAGGCCCACTTATTTTAATGAAATGAAATCAAGTGCAGGTCTTAATGTTCATAAGCAGAAAACGTACACATTACAACTAGTAGAACCTCAGCCAATAAATCAACTTCACAGACATATCTGGGTCTGTAAGTTAGAATTTGGGGGGAGTTGGCATAGGAGTGGTATGAACCCTAAGTGACACCTACCAAGAATTCTGGCCTGGTCCTTCTGTCCACCCAGACTTGTAGAACTACAGAGAAGCAGGTGTGCTCTCAGGAAAGAGCTGCAGGGCAGGCAGGGACACAGGGCAGCCCTGAAGCACACAGACCTCCCTACTGTTCAGCAGATCCAGCGGCCTCTGCACGCATGAGAGAAGGAACCACAGTCAATTAATAATGCTTTGTGGCACCCAGCTGGCATTACAAGGATGATTCCCAGGGCATTTAGCCTTGCCTGGGAAAGGAGCTGGTTGCTGTAAAAATGGTTGAAAAAGAAAAGGAAATTAAATACGTCATTCCCCAGCTTCTCTCCGTGGGCTCAGCTGCAAGGCATTTGGTTCTTTGCACTCTGGGAAGCTGATTCAAAAAAGATTTCCTGGTTACCTGAAGGTTGGGCATTAAAAATGTGGCTGTGGCCTAAGCAGTCCCTCCCAGAACCAGGCGGGGTCAGGGCTGCCCAAGGTGGGAGCCCATCGGTGCCACGGATGAAACGCAAAGGATTGTGTGACACTGCCGTTGATGAGAATAGGTAAGTTCTTCCCCCGAGTTCTTACTTATCGAATGATGGAAATGACATTCTTTCACTATGCTGGAATATTTATGACTTAAAAAAAGGCTAGCAGTAGTCATAAACTATAAGAAAAATTCTGTGGAATTTTAAACATTTTACTTTGAAAAAATTTTGTTTCAGAAGTCTGCAAATGTAGAGGGAAAATTATGACCCTTTCCCCTTTTCCTTGTTTTTAACAAGAATGCTCAATTATTTATGCTATTTGACTCTTCTGGGGTGGGAGGGGTAGACTTTTTTTTTTTTTTTTTTCCACAATAGAAACTTCTTTGGCCTTTATCAATGGAATGTAACAGCCCATGTCTAAGCTCTTTGCTGGGCTGTGATACAATGTACACATTAGGAGTTAAAAAAGCTTTAAAAGTCTTTAAACTAAATACCATCATTAACAGAATGAAATAAAGTATCTGCTATTATTTTTAGGTATCTGAAGAATATAGACTTTGCCCACTAAACCAGCTACTCTGTTGCAAATTGTGAATTAAATCCCATGTCCTAATGGTATCTTGAGTAGAATTAAGGTCTCCAAAGTTACTGGGCAGGATAAGAATATATTACACAATAAACACAGAGCTCTAGAATTCCGAAGTCTCCATAGGAAGATCTTAAATTACTTTTGTGCACACAGTTGCCTTTTCCCAGAAGAGGTCCTGATGGCTGTGAACACAGAATCATGAGGCCCCCTGCCCAGATACCCACACTACAGGCATGCTCCTGTCCTTTCAGCACTCTGTCCTGAATTTTTTGCTCAGGATTTGATTGTGGATGGCTCAGCCCCATAACAAGAGTAACCCTCAAGAGGAGAGCCCTACGGTCAGAGCCCTGTGTAATAGGCTCCGACCACATTTTCCTAGCTGGGCAACTGTGAAGGCAGGAAGCAAACCATGATCTTAGACTCCAGGGCACCATGTCTGGTTGTTTCCAACTATATGCCCAGGTGCCAGCAGGCAGCCTGGCACACACCTGGAGCTTACTGCATATACACTGAATAAATGACAAACAGGCAAGCCAATGAACTGGCTGCAAGCTATTATTTCTTAGTCTATGCATACTGACTGACAAGTCAACTACTATGAATGGTGATGTCTTGAGTGAGTGGTATAGCCTGAAAAAAAAAAAAAAAAAAAAAGACCCATCTATTAGACAAAGAAATAGTTCCTTATCTCTTGCCTTTCCCTCAACTCTTACCATCTTAGAAGAAAAAAAGTCAGCTAACTCTCAGTCCTTCTTTTTCACCCCATCACTAACTTCCTCATCAGCAAGAATGCCTTCAGTTCACTAGGCCTGGTTTGGGAATGTGCTTCCCGCTTTTCTGGTTGGGGCAATCCAGGATCCAAGGCCCAGATGGACGATCCATGAGGGATGTCAGAAGAAGTGCTGGACTTGTCAAAGGGCCCAAGTGAGCCTGGTGCTCCCACTACACAGCAAACATTTTGGCATGTGATTTTCCCCATCTCACAGGCTTGTAATAGGATTAAAAGAAATAATGGGAACAAACAAACTTTATAAACTGATAAGTGCTGTTTACAAATGTAGGAATGACTGAGGCATAAAGGACTCCATGA